GGAAAGGGAAGGTGTGTGTCTGGAATTGCTCTGCCCTGGGAGCTGTGCCAGGGAACTCCTCAGCGGTGCCAGAGCACACAGGCGGTTGGGACCCCTTGTACCAGGGGGAGGGAGCACTTCCCACACAGGTTTGCCTTGCCAGTAAATGCTAATTTTTAAATTCAGAAGTAGAGGCAGTCGGATTCACCTGACTTTCACCTTCTAGAAGTTAGGCTTGTAATTAAGGTATCATTACATTCCTTCACTGTTGAGTGAAGAGGAGGCATCTCCACTCAGGGGCTCATTTTGCTTGTCTTGAATAAAATGAATCATGCCCTTTTTCCTTCTTGCTTTCTCTTTCTCCCTTCCTTTCCTTTTCTCTTTCTTTCCTTCTCCCTTCCTCAGCACTATAGAAGCAGACAAGACAATTAACTTCAGTCAGTCACCCAACTCTAAAACAGCTCAGGTCAGCGAGGTGAATCTCACCTAAAAGGCAGGAATGGGAACCAGTATTTGCTTCCACTGAAGAGCCCTTCCCAGGATACCAAATCTGAGCTTTCATACCTGTTGTGAATTGGGAAAAAAATGTTATTTGTGTGCATGTACAGTTTTAAAATAACAGTGTGAAAGCAGGAGGAGGAACAGAAAAATCCCTTTTCTACCCCAAGACAATGAATTCACTAGGAACAAACATTCATTCAGACACATTAATGGAGGGGGGGAAACTTCTGGGTTTGGAAAATAATTTTTTCTTCTGAAAAGTGTGTTCTTTGGGGTGGGCTGGTGATGCCCTTTGCTGTGCTGAGGCTCAGTGTGTTTAAGTGACAGAAGTGGGGAGAAGGATGCCCTGTGCTGTACTTGGCTGCACAGCCCTGAGCTGAGTCTGCCCAACAAGTTAGAAAGGAAGGAATTCAAGATGGTGAGCTCGTGCAGAGCATTCCCTTACAAACACAGAATGGGATTTTCTTCCTTCTCTGCTGCTCAGACTGGACAAGGAATACAGCAGCATTTCATGGGGCAGGAATGAACTAAAGGGGAGGGACTCCAAAAAGGCAGGCAGATGCAGGGAAACTGCTCCAGGTGTGGGGAACAGCCTCCCCTGGAGCAGGAGGCAGTAAGGCCCATTCTTCTGTTTCAGGGGCCAGGAGATGTCATGTAGTGCTGTGTGGTGTGTGGTAGGCACGTTCCCTGGCAGTGTGTTCTGAGCACACCAGAGCAGCTGCAGACTGCTGCCATGTGCACACTGCACGGACAAGAGCAAAGGTTCAGGGGCAACACACCGGGGTCTTCTCCCTGCAATACTTGGGCTCAAGCTCCTCTTCTGTCTGATTTTGAGCAGATAAGAGTCCACACTCCTTTATCCTGCTGTCAAAGGAAGATCATCTGACATTACAGAAGGCAAGCCTGGTGATAGGATAGCTCCAAGAGAAGGCCCATGAGCTGAGAGGTGGTAGTGGGTGTCAGAGACTCTTTCCTGTGGAGATGAGCTGGTCTGCCATCAGTCTGTCGGGATTGCTGCCCCCAGCCCTTGACTGGCCCCTTCCTCTCAGGAGCTGTTCCTCTTGTTCCATGCCTGCAGTGGGGCTCGGAGCCTGAGCTCGCAGTTGTTGCTCCTGCTGGTTTGTTTGGGCTTCTGTTCCTCCTCACTGCTGCCTTTGGCACAGGACAGCCTTGGGAGTGTTCTGGAGCACTGTTATTTCGGGGTGTGAAAGAGTCTTAGGCCTTTAATCTGGGAGTACAAACTACATCTGTCACCTGGGTATCTGTGGCGGTTTCTAAGCAACCACAAGAGTTTATTTTTTTCTGCAGTTCGTATTTAAGAAATAATTTGCTCATGCATGAACCAGAATCAGCCTGAGCACCACCCCAGGAGACAGAAATTGTAAACTGTAATTTAGGCTAATTCTAGTCTAAAGCATGAATTAGAGTATTTTATGTAATCTTGAAAAATATACTATATAAATAAATGTAAGCACAGAACAGGTACAATTAATTTGAGCACAGTAGGAAGCTTTAAGTAACTCTGGGAATGTGAGAAACCAAGTCGGAACATATTCTTGACATGTAAAAATATTTCCCACCTGCCTTGTTTGCATAAGAACAAGGTTTTAGCAAGTACATATTTGCATGTCAAAGTTAAAAGTGGGGAAAATATTTTCACCCTTGTAAGAAAAAATGCATAATCTTGGCACAGGCAATTTGCATTTAGTGAGTTGAAAGTATCTTAAGTCCTTTCATGCTGCATGGAAAGTGTATGAACGTGCCAGGGGTTCCATCTCCGTGAGTGCATTTGCAGAGGCCCCACGTGGAGCAGGAATTGATCTGATCTCTCTGCATTCATCTGGCCCACAACTGGCTGTGGCAGTGCCAGTGACTGCTGCTGCTGACATCATCCGCTGGCCTGTGTGTCTGGCAGTGACACAGGACTCGGGGCTTTAAATGCCCTCTGCCTAATTGAAGGGAAGTACCTTGAAGGTGTCAGTTTGGGGAAATCTGGAATTTTAAAACCGCACCTGGTTTGGTGCCATCGCTCGTACAAACCACGGTGGGCGAATGCTGGCACAGCTGGAGCCTGTGCCTCTGCGGGGATTCTCTTCTGCCAGTAAAGCATCCTGGAAAATGCATTGGGGACTAATTATGGCACCTTTAGACTATTACTAACCTAGCTTTAGGCCATCACTTTGAAGGCATGGTGCATTCCTTCAGAAACCCTCTGCAAATGTCCTGTTGCTTAAGAAACAGGGATTGCATGCACAGGCTTCATGGGTGATTTAACTAACGTGCTGGAGATGGTAGATAAACCAGATCCAATTATATCATACCTCTTCAAAATAAGGCAGTAATTATGTATAGAAATGTGAAATGTAAAAAACACATTGCTGTGGAGATAAGCCTTGTGAGTGCCCTGTCCAAGGAGCTGCACAAGGCTGCTGATTCACTGCAGCAGGCACAGAAATAATCCTGGGTTGGAAAGGCACCGCTGGGATTTGGTGGAGCTATTCTGGAATTTGCCCACAGGATTGCTCTCTGAGTTTGAGCTGCACATGGTACAGATTCAGAGTTCCAGTGGATTCCAGCCTGTGCCTCAGTTTGTGGATGTGAGGGGGGCTGTGCTGCCCCTTGTGCTCCCAGCTTTGTTCCTAAACACGTGATGCTGCAGTAATAATTTATGTAACACATTAATGAACCAGCATACACATTATTTTCCCCTTTTATTAGTTCACTTCCTGCTCCGTTGTGTTTAATGTGTTTGCTGAGAGCAAAGTGAAATCAAAACCATTCTGAGGGAAGAAGTGTTTCCTTCCTTAAGTGTCCTGAGCAGACCTTTTGATTCAGCCTGTGGTTTTGTCACTGCAGGGATGGGGGGGGATTAAAGGTCAGGAATACAAAGGTCCTTGCAGTGGAAGCAGGTGCAAGTGGTGTCCTGCTGTATGAAAGAAAATACCCTCAAGCTGCAGTGAAGTGAGTGTAGTCCATGGCTGTTGGGCTCTGCTTTCCCCAGCACACCATTCCGTTTCACCTGCTCTTGGGTTCCTGGGAGCAAATCAGTCCCGTTTGGGTGCTACTCAGCTGCCCCCATCCTTGCACATGGTGTCACCTGGAGAAGTTTTGAAGGAGTATTTCAGCACAGTCAGTGCTCTGGTACAAGTCTTGTGCTCTTCTGCTTTATAATTATCTCATGCTTTGGGCCAGATCCTGAGTGCGGTGGACTGGAGCACACAGGAGCACTACAGGATGATTCTTATTTAATAAGAACCAGCCAGTGAGGGATTTAATGGCATGTAAAGTGCAGTGTTTTTAGGAGCAGACATGAATTTTTGAGAGCAGTGTGGAGTACAACTGCAGTTAAGCTGCTGCACTGTAAGACAGTAGCATTAGATGGGATTTTACGTGTTGTCACAGCCTGGATAGCTGACCTGGATGAAATAGGAGCTCTGTTCACCAGACAGGCAGCTGGTGAATGGATTGCAGTTCCTCAAGGAGGTGAACAGCATTGGCTAACGTGTCACAGCCACGGGCACAGCACGAGGTGTTTGTCCTGCTCGCACTGACGGGTCAGGGCCCTGCTGAGCTTCATCCCCACACCCCTGCAGCACAGGGGGCTTTCCTGGGGGCTTTCCTGGGGGCTCCAGTTCCCTCCTGGTGGGGGGTGTTTGTGAGCACATCTAGGCACATGTAAATGTGCTGTTTGATAGGGTGAAGCAGTGCCTTCACACGGCCCTGTCCAAACAGACTTGCCAGTGAAATGCTGCAGCCAGGGCCCCAAAAGAGGGGCTGTTCTGGGCATGCAGGAGTGCCCTCTTACACCTCCACACTCAGATGAGAAGGTGCTTGATTTAGAGATAGTCACACACTCAACTGAGTCCAGTAGGTGTGACTCTGTGTATGAATCCCAGCACTGAAAGGAGGCTTTCAGACTTTACAGCTGTGCAGCATTTTCTGCAGTGAATGGACTCGAGTGCTCTGTGTTCTGTGGTAGATAACTCACAAATACGTGCTGATGGTTCCCTTTCTGATCAGATTCAAGAGTTAGGGATTTTTCATGCAAAATGCAGTTGCTCTTCACCTCATTCCTCCCCTGAGGAGTGGCTGTGGGAGCTGGGTGGCCCCTCTGGGAAAAGTGGTGCATTTGATTCCAGGCAGGGCAGACTTTAAAACTGCCTGCTATGATCTCACAAGAATACGGCTGGAAGAGACCTTTCTAGTGTCATCTTAGCTCTTTGGCCAAAATGTGAACTCTCCTACTCTTTTTGGCTTTGAAATGCTGATTCCAGCCTTCTTGTGGGTTCTTAAACACCTTCTCAAATGACCCATTTTAATAACCCAAAAGCTATTATATAACGAGCAGCCATAATTTAGTCCAAAGCTCTAGGGGATCCTTGCAGTTCAGCAATGAATAGTTAATGCAGTATAATGTTTAGCAGGTTATTAGTTTTCACTGTACAAATGCTGATCAGGGAATGCTTTTATAAGGTGTTTAAAAGAAAATGTAATTAACTGGTTGCGTGCTTCTGTTGCAGCTCAAATTGAAATTATTCCATGCAAGATCTGTGGAGACAAATCATCAGGAATCCATTATGGTGTCATTACATGTGAAGGCTGCAAGGTAAGCTTCTAAAATATTAAGTCTGAAAACAGCACTTAGCCCTTCGATAGTGATTATTTTCCTTCCTTCTTTAAAGAGCAAGCATTGGGCCTAAGTAGGATCAGTGGATTCCATTTCAAAGAACATAAAACTGTTGGGGATTCTGAGGCACTGATTTTAAATAGTACATTTCTGTGACACACACACCTGCACTGCCACAGATTTCAGGACAATCCTCAGGCTCCCAGAGTTGTGCTGTGTGTGCTGTAAACTGCCTTTCTCTGAGTCAGCAGAACAGGTACAGGAGGATGATCTGCTTCAGGCAGAGCAGCAGGAGCCAGCTCAGTGGGTTCAGCCCAGGGGGAGTTGGGCTTTCTTGCCTCTCCCTCTCTGGTTTTGCTGTGTAAAGTGCTGTGAAGCTGTGCTGGAACAGGTGGGAGCTCTGTGCCCCTCGTTTTGGTTTGTGCTCAGCTGCAGTTACCCATCCATTCTCTCACCCAGGAGATGGTGTTTGGTGTCCAGCACGCTCAGGTCCTGCTGGAAGCAGTGCCTGTTCCTGCAGTGCAAGCACTGCTGTGGGAGGTTTGGGCTCTGGATGTTGTCCTGGACCCTTGGTAGCTGTAGTGAACAAGGATTACACCAGGAGCATTTCTGTTGTGTTCAGCGTGTCTGTCACAAGCAGGAGTTAAACTGCACAGTGCCAGGTGAGAGTGGAGTGCAGCTGATCAGTCCTTCTGATAGCAGTGCAGGACGGCAGCCCTGGCTCGGGGTGACACAGTGTGCACAGCCAGGCTCCAGCGTGCTGCCCTCCTGGTGCGGGTGCATGTTGCAGTCCCCTGCTGGTAGGTTCTCTCCTGTTAATCTACACTTCAGGTGTGAGGAATTTGTGGCAGTTTTTAGTCTGCTCTCCTGACGTGGTTGATACCACAACCCCCTCTTCCCTGCATTCACATTGTGAAGATTTCTTCTGTGGTTTTCCAAAGGTTTTTATGTTTTCAGTAACACATTGTCTGAGCCTCGTGGAAGTATTGGTAAGAAGGAAGGAAAAAGAATAAATTTAAGAACCTTGGAATGATATGGGAAGAGCACCTTCTGCCCTTTCTGACTGGTGTTGCTATGGAAAATGCCAGAAATGCACTAAAAATGTATTGATGACAAAGTGGTGAGTTTTTGCAGGTTTATGTGGCTGAGCAGCCTTTATCAAATATCAGCTGAGGGAAGTGGCAGATGCTTGCAGGGAGAGTTCTGCTGTGGGACTGTCTTGTCAGAGGAGTTCCAGTTATGTCCAAGGTCTGAGACCTCTTCAGTCCTTCGATGGTGTGGGACCTGGATAAGTGAGAGGCTGCCTGGAGATCCTGGCAGACATCCTGGCACACAGACACAGGCTGGGGTGGTGCTCGTGGTGGTTGCTGTGGGGCAGGAGGGGAGCAGCCCCTGTGCTCACACTCCCCTGGGCACTGCAGGTGAGCCAGGGCTGCCCATGGAGCGTTCCTCTCTCGGAGTGGCTGCTTTTCCAGGAGTAAATGCAGGAGAAAGGCCCTTTGTGCACCCCCAGCAGTCAGAACTCCAGATGTCTGTCTGATAGTGAGGAATGTGTGAGCAGCTCCTTACGTGTCAGGACAAAGGCTCTTCCTTGGCTGTATAAACTGCAGGGCTGAGGATCCACTGGCACGGTCAGCTGGTGGGAAGGGCAGAGGGCAAGGCAAGCAGGCAGGTGTGCTGAGCACACTGGAACACGTTTGAACCTCAGGGCACACTGTGCTAAGGAAAACAGTGGCCCTGTGGATGAGTTTGGCATTTTGTCCCTCTCTTGGAAGAGCACGATAAAGTTTTACAGGCATACAAATTCAGGCAGAATTTAAAAGCCAACGAATATCAACTTAGTTAACTGAGTTCGTTTCCTTTCAGGAGAGAAATAACTCACAGCTCACTCTTAGTGCCAGACCCCAGGTGACCTGCAGGTGGTGACAGACAGGGCAGTGCTGGTGGGCACAAGTCACAGCAAGAGAGTTGAAATGATCGTGACCCAAAGGGCATTGAAATGCCCCGCTGTGGCAAATGGATTCTGTTTGTGCTACGCTTTCACAGCAATGTCAACAAAGTCTCACCCAGCAGAACTATTTTGGCTGGTGAAAAGGTTGGCATAGCTTGGCCTGTGCCAGAGGAGCCAGGTGTGTATTGGAATGGTTTTTTCCCAGCTTTTCTGTGGCTGTGATGCTGCAGGTTGGAGCATGCTTGCATTGCTGCTCACGGTCTGCTAAACCTTCCCTGGCAACGAGGGCTTGCTGGGAAGACCCAGCTCCCAGTGCTGTGCTCTGACTGGAGCCAGCAGTCCCAGGGCACTCAGGGTCCTGCCATCCTGTGGATCGGGGGCAGGAGCAGGGCCTGAGCCGGCAGCAGGAGCAGATGTGCTGCTGCCCTCTGCAACCAGCCGGGAGGGAGGGACCTGCAGGCACCGACAGCAGCAGCAAAGCGGGGCATTCTCAGCTCCTGCTGACTGTCCCTCCAGTTTGGTGTGAACTTTGATGTTACTCAGTACTAACATTAACTGAAATGTTACTGTGCAAATACTAATAACCACCAGAAATACAACTTATTTAAAACCTGAAGGGAAGTTTTAGTTTCAAAGAAATACTTTGCAGTTCTAATGTGTATCCTGTGTGGAATCACAGACCAGCTCAGGGCAAATGGACTGTTGCTGTTCCTGTAGCTCTTCTGCAGGTCGGCAGCCCTTGCATTTCAGAGTTGAAAATTTCCTGACCGTTTTGTTTTTTGTTATATTGCATTTCACATGACTAGAACTGAAGATTTGTGATGAAACCCATTAGTGTTTTTCGAGAAGTTTTCGTTTCCTCCCCTGCTGTGATGTTGCTGACAGTTTTTATGAAGTTAGTGGCAGTGTTTTGCACAAGCACCATTGAGTGCTCCCAACCCATCAGCCTATTTAGCTGAATTTGAATATGCCTTTAAAAAGATAAAATTTAACACCTCTCCTCCCCACAAGTGAAATATTAAATTTTTAGCCAGACTGTGTTTTACACTTCATCTAGGAGGGCTCCTGTGGCTTATTAGAGAGAAAATACATTTTAAAAGAGAGGGTTCTTTTTTTTCTGACCATTGCTGATATCCACTATGCAACATATAACTGGGGGAAAAGGAAGATGAGATGAATCACATAAGGATTTCACTCAGGAGCATGGATGAGGAATGACAAAGACTGTGCCACAACTCAGCAGTAGAAGTCTGTTGTGCTGTGTGAGAGTGGGAATACTGTTGTGGGAGCACTACTGGAAAAGCTGCCATCTGCATGGAGCCCCTCCTCAGCCAGGAGCTGTGGAACCCCTTCCCAACCTGTGTCTGTGGGAGGGACCGTGCTGGGTACCCACATCCCTGCTCTTTACTCAGAGCTGAAAGTGGGATCCAGTTCCAGGCTGTCAGAAAACACCCGAATGTTTCAAGGGGCATAGCAAGGAATTCAGTTTGAAATGAAGTTTGTTAATGACCTGTGTAATTTACCTTGATTCCCAGATGCAGTTCCTTGCCGGTGCAGTCAGCAGGGTTGGTTCATGCCCAGCTGCCCCACGAGTGCCTTGTGGGATCGCTCCCTTTACCTGACTCTGCCCAGCTGGTCTGGCAGAGCCACCCCAGGGCACTGCTGGGCACTTCTCCTGCTCTCACAGGTTCAGCAGTGCTGGCTTTCATCACTTGTGTCTTTTAAGACCAAGGATGACCTTGTCCACTGTAACTGCAAAGAACATCTGGGTTCATTACTGCAGGAAACAAGACCTGGTGTGCTGTCCCTGCCCTTACTGCCTTACCTTTGTTTGTTGATAAACACGAGCTCACTCCTGTCTTTATTACCTGTGTAAACCTGAACATTTTTGCTCTGTTTTCAGGGGCACTATAGCTTTATTATCAAGTATTCTATTAACATAGTTTAGTAGACAATATTGTCACAGTGCCCTCCTCCCTTTACAAGTAAAATATTTGCTCACTTTTGTAAAGGGTTAAAAATCCCATTTGAATGCTAGCCTGTCTGTCGTATTACAGTGCATTTTTCTGATGTTCCTTTGAAGAAAATCTGCGGTGGTTTGCTTTGGAAAACAGTAAAAGAATGACTCCCCCCCAACTAATTGTTAATTGCTCAGAATATTGCAAAACTTAATGATACGTGGAAGTCTTTAAGTATTAGCCATAAATCATGGGATTATGAATAAGCCTTTGTTGTCACAGGCTCACACACAGTCATTCCAAACCCTGTGCCATTAGGATGCAGCAAGGCAGCTGTCAGCTGTTTTCTTGTAATTAAACAGCCAATGAGCAGCTAATTAAGACATATGTGTATACAGAAGTGGAAGTGGGTATGTTAATGAACTGTAGGAATCAATTCATTAAATGAAAATTTGTCAAAAGACCAAACATGAGCTCAGCGTGGCAGCCCGAGCCGGTGGAGGAGCTGGGCTGTGCTCTGGGACACGGCAGGCACTGCTGGGTGAGGAGCAGCTCAGACACCCCCAGCTCCCTGCTGAGCCTCCAGCACCCAACTCACCCAAACTATTAATAGATTCTGCAAAAACTGCTATTTACATTTCAAAGGTCCTTCCTAACGAGTTGTTATTCAAACTGACTCGCAGATGAAAAGTTCTTGCGCCCTTTTTCCCCCCCAAACCTGATTTCTTGGCAGCCTATGAAAACCCATAGATTGTGTTGAGTATAAATAGGAGTCTGAAACGCAGAGATGAGGCTGGGGCTCCCAGTCTGCTCTGTTCCTGCTCTGGCAGCACAGCCGTGCATCTGCACAGAGAGGGGCCGTGCAGAGCTGTAGGGAGCGGGATCTGTGTGCTGCCACCGGCAGGGGCTCTGAGTGTCCAGCAGCAGCAGCAGGTCCTGGCGCTGGGGCTGCCCCTGTGGGGTGTGAGGGGCTGCCCCGATGGTGCCAGGGAGGGCTGTGAGCACCCCTGCCATTACAGGCCTTGCACAACGCTGGTGCCTGCATGGGCACCCAGCGCGCATCCACCTCGTCTTCCTGCGGGCACTCACAACCAGCTCCAGGCCTCGGGCAGGAGTGAGGGCTGGAACAGCCCAACAGGCCTCTCCTCCTCAGCTTTTAATGAAGGGCTAAAAACAACCTGCAAAGAAATTGTACTCCTGTCTTAGGGGCTTCCCCCTGGGTCTTACTGTATTTGTGAGAGCACAAGGACCACCAAAAGCTTGGAAAACTCACAAGGGAAGGACAGCAATGTAGAACTTGGAGAGCACGAAACCCTCAGTTGACCTTCACTGTAAATTCACTCCCAAATCTCGGATACATGTGTTTCTGCGCTCTGGACAAGTTTAGATTAGTTTCTGAAGTTTGTGGCAAGGTGGGTTTTTCGTTTCTTTAGCTCCTGCTGATCTTTTCATGGGGTTTGTTTTTAAAAGCACTTTGCTGTATCTCTGGTTTGTAAAGTGTAAGTGCTTTAAAAGGCCCGGGTTTCAGGCAGTTCTGCTCTACTGAAAATTTAGCTTGAAGCTGTAACTTAGCTGATACATGGTACACTAAAATGTATTGAGCAGCTGTGTCTCTAGGGAAAATCTGCAAAAGGAAAAAGCCCAGTATTTTCTCCATTATAATACTAAAAATAATCCTCAGCTTGACAAGACTATTCTTAATAAAGAGAAATATGCCAAAGTGGCAGCTCAGACTCAGTACGTACCTCAGCTCAAGGAGAACTCAGATCCTGGAGGTGACTGGGACACGTTGATTAAGCTGACTCCCAGGAGCTCGGTGGTGGCAGAAGAGTTCATGCAGTTCCTCTCTAAGTGTGTAATTCAGTGCAACTGGAAAGGTGTCTGGAGAACTGAAATTTGTGGGGGCTGCTGCAGAGCCTTGATCAGTCAGCCACGGGTCAGCGCAGTCCCTGGTGCTGTTCTCTGGTGGATGGTGCTGCTCTTGCCCCTGTACCTGCACTGCAGTGACAGTGCCTGTCATGGTGCTCTCAGAACTGAAGGGGAGCTCTCTGGCCTAAGAGTTCCTGCAGAGGGATCAGTTGTGATGTTGGAGTGGTAGAAATTTCCGTGGTATTTCAGGTTTTCTTTAGGATGAAATGCACTCAATTGGAGCTCAATATGTGCAGTACAATCATCTCACTACTGACAAACCTGGGAAAACAGATGAAAGTTCAGTCAAACAGAAACAAAGAGCAGGATAAAGGGGTGAGAAATAATGTACAGGAGAACAGGATTGAAGACAGCACCAAGAATTTCCTTCTTTTTTTTTTATACCCCATGTTTCCCCAGTAAAGCTTTAATAAAAGGGGCCTGCTGGACCCAGACTGGTGCCCTCGTCCTAAGATGGAGCAGGGGCTTTGTCTCGGTGTTTTCCCAGTCTCTGTGTGCAGGCAGTTTGTTAGGAAGTCTCTCCCTTCAGACTTGCCATGCAGCAGCCCTTTCCCTTGTTTGTCTCCCCTGGTGTCTGGACAGAGTGTGCTGTGCCGAGGGACTCCAGCCTGCAGCCCTCGAGTAAACAAAACATTGGGAAAAGTCCAGCTTTAATTAAAAGGTGCCCAGCCTTGCCGAGGAACTATTTTCTTTGCAGCACTGTTAATTAATCCATTATGTGCCAATGCAAAACTGAAATAGTGTGCTCGCTGATCTCAAGTGCCTCTTTAGAATGACTCCATCTTCACAGAATCCTTGTGAAGTAGCTCTTACACACAGAGCAGCTTGTGTTAGGGCAGTCTGTGGCTGAAGGATGACCTGGAGTTCAAAGCAGGCGGTGGCACAGCGGGTGGTGACACGCACCGCTCCCGGGGAGGCAACAAAGCTGTGTGGAGCCTCCCAGCACTGCCCTCCCTTGGGCATGGGGTTACTCAGCAAAGACATCCTGCAGAAAACGTGGGTTAGCTTCCCCCCTCCCTAAGAGTGTAAACCCTGCCCCCAGTTGGGCAGAACCTCAGCTGGCAGCATCAGAGTGACTCACACAGAGCAGCGAGGGGGTGGCACTGCCAGGGCACCTCCAGTGCCGGGGCACTTCTGAGCCCCTCACGAGGAAGGCTCTGAGGGGCTGGAGCGTCTGCAGGGAAGGGAACGGAGCTGGGAAGGGGCTCAGCCTGGAGAAAAGGAGGCTCAGGGGGGACCTTCTGGCTCTGCAACTCCCTGACAGGAGGGGGGAGCCAGGGCGGGGGGTCGGGCTCTGCTCCCAGGCAGCCGATGAGGAAAAGGCATCTGATTGTGGCAGGAGAAGTCTAGTTATCAGGAGAAACTTCTTCACTGAAAGGGTGGTCGGGCTTTGGAGCAGGCTGCCCAAGGAAATGGTGGAATCACTATCCCTGGAAGTGCTGGAAAAGGCACGTGGATGTGGCCCTTGGGGTTTAGGGGCAAGCACAGTGGTGCTGGGATAACGGATGGGCTCGATGATCTTAGAGGTCTTTTCCAACCTTAATGGTTCTGTGAGAATATAAAATTCCTTTAAGAAGTTGCTCTCTGTGGGAGACAGTGCTCAGCATCGTGCTGAGTATTTTTAAACACGTACATACATGGGTGAGGCTGAACGTCAGAGCCTGCCACTGCAGAGAGCAGAACAGGGGAGCAGCTGCTGAATCCTCCCTATTTTGGAGATCTGTGCAGACCAGGAAAGATAGGAAATCAAGACAATCTAGGGCTATAATTAGTTTTATCTCCTGTGGAAAGAACTGGTGTGCCATATGTAATACGGGATCTGTAAAATCAGTGAATAAACCTGCATTTCCTTTATATGTTATAACACTTTTATGAACTGCTCCTTGCTAGTTACTGTTTTTTGTTTGTTTCTAGGAGAGAAAAAAAAAAACCCACCAACAAAACCCTCTTAAGTTCCTTTAGTTGACTCTTGAGCTTCATGTTCTGTTAGGTAGGCTGCCTTTCAGAGTCTCTCTCCGCTCCAGCAGTTAACAGCTTCTTGACTTGTTTTTTGCACTCGCACGGCAGGGCTTTTTCAGGAGGAGTCAGCAGAGCAATGCCACGTACTCCTGTCCCCGGCAGAAGAACTGTCTGATCGACCGCACCAGCCGCAACCGCTGCCAGCACTGCCGGCTGCAGAAATGCCTTGCTGTGGGGATGTCTCGGGATGGTAAGCTCTGCTCACACGGCCTGGCTGCTCTGAGGGAGGGCTCAGCTCAAACCCACGGCATTTACAGGCTACTTGTGCCTTGGGCTGATGCTTGAGGACATCAGGTGTTTTTTAGATGTTGCTGTGTATTTTTCTGTGTTACACGTTGTATGTTTTTGCATTTTATACAGAAATACCAGGGCATGGGTGAAGTTGTTGGTTTGTGGTTTTTTTTCCTACTCATCTATTACAGTTCCCAGTTAAGAACTTTGCATCTGGTCACTTCTTGAAGATGCAGATTTTTAGTCTGATGTTAATACTTTATTCCAGCTGAAGTGACCTACTGTGGTTGCAAGTTAACACTGCCTGGGTGCAGATCAAAACTGTTTCCCAGTGTCAAGAGAAGTTGAATTGTATATAATGAATAATGAAGAAAAAATGCAAAGAGAAAAATAATGCAGTGTTTTTTCAAAGGTAGAACTCTGAAGAAAATCTGTTCCAGTACTGTGAACACGGAGCTCAGAATTGCAGCTGGAGTAGTGAGGAAAGGCTGGCTCTGTAAGACGGACACTTGTGTAATTCAGTTAGAACTGGCTTTGCAGCTGGTACTTGACTCCTGCCCCCTAGATGGGAGCTGCTACCACTTACTCAGTCTGAAGATCAGTCACTCTTCCCCCCTGCCAGGGTGACAGCAGTGCTCCGTGTTCTACAAACAGGTTACTCAGGGTACGTGAGGCCCCACTGAAGAGATTGTTTCCAGATTACATTTACTTCTTGAATTACATTGTCTTCATTTTTTGATTGGGCACGAGACTGAAACCCTGCAACAGCTGATACATGTAGTGACTAGTTCCTCCAACCAGTTTGCTTTCCTGTAGAAAAGCAGAAGGCAGTAGTCACCTTTCTAAAGGACAGGGCTTTTACAGAAATCACATATCCTGAGGAATTCCCTGGATGCTGCAAACCAGCTGCTGCTGGCTGACAGCTCATACCTCTCAAAGCAGTAGCAATCTGTGTGTGCACGTGTGTCCACACACACACACACAGGTTTAACAGTCGCTCACCTAGTAACACTTGTGCTTGTCACAGTGGTGCTGGAGGCAGGCGTGGTGATTCCTCCCACGTGCTTTAGTGCCAATCCCAGTAAAGCTTGTTATTGACACACTGTGAGAGATACCCCACGTGTTGGCACCTATTTTTAAGTTCACTCTGTGGTGTGAATGTGCAGCTGGCAGGAATTGGACAGTTCATCCTGGGCCAGCACGTTCTGTATTAACTTCTGCTTTTCTAGGTAGGACTTGAATGCTGAAGAGATGCATCTGTCAACTTTGTTGGACGTACAGGAGAAAATCTTCTCGGTACAGAAGTGGGAAGTTAATGAATTAAGCTAAACCAGAGACTCCTAATGGTCCATTTCAGTTGCACGTTAGGAGGGTGCAGGGCAGAGCAGGGGCCGCAGCTGAGTCCCTGTGGCCGGTGTGGGGCTGCTGTGATGTTTGATCCTGCAGCCCATGGGCAGCCAGCAGCGGGTGTGTGGAAGGTAACGCCGTGTTCTGTGTTCCAGCTGTAAAGTTCGGCCGAATGTCCAAAAAGCAGCGGGACAGCCTGTACGCCGAGGTGCAGAAACACCGACTGCAGCAGCAGCAGCGCGACCACCAGCAGCAGCCGGGAGAGGCAGAGCCGCTCACCCCCACTTACAATATCACCACCAACGGGCTCACAGAGCTGCACGACGACCTCAGTAATTACATTGATGGGCATACCCCTGAAGGTAGCAAAGCAGACTCTGCAGTTAGCAGCTTCTACTTAGACATACAGCCTTCTCCAGATCAGTCGGGTCTTGATATTAATGGAATCAAACCAGAACCAATATGTGACTACACACCAGCATCGGGCTTCTTCCCTTATTGTTCTTTTACAAATGGGGAGACCTCTCCAACTGTGTCCATGGCAGAATTAGGTAATGAGAGAGAAAAGCTTCCATTCTAATTGTCTTAACAGTACCCTTTGGATTAAAGTGCCACATTTAGCCAGGTGACAGTGAGAATGCTGCTTCAGTAGAGCTGGGAGCATGTGTGGGCATCCTGCTGTGACGTGCAGTGTCCTCATCTCGGGGTACGCAGTGAACAACTTACCTGGCTGCATTAAAACTCCAGGGGCCTGGGGTTGATCAGCTCTAGGAGTGTTGCTTTTGCTTTCAGTCCTTGCAATAGAACCCTTTGAATACTGATTGACGAGCTAATTTGTAGTGCTGAGCAAACAGACGGCATATTTCTTTTTTGCAGATTATTTTTTAACATTTTATCTCCTTTTTCATTACCTCAGTACTCTTATTTCTGACAAAAAGTGACGAGGCTGATTTTGCTCTGCTCTTTACCTGGGAAATATGAAACCAAAGCACCAAACTAATCTGAGGGCACTTCTCCTTGCCACTGGTTGAAGAGAATCTGGCCCCAGATACTGAAGGAAATTTTTGAATGTAGCAAATTTTGCTAAGTTCTCCAAAAGCCTTATAACAAACAGATTAATTAGCATGTTCTACTTTAAACTCATGCCTGAATGATTACATTTCCACAACTGTGCCTTGTCAACAGCTGAGATTGGAGTTTGAGCCTGCTGTGTGAACAGGTTATAAACAAAGAGGAACAGGACATGAGAGAAGTGGTCTCACAATTCTATTACTTCTGTAAGCAGTCAGGTGTTTAAAACTGATTTTGCTTGCTTAAGCAACATTTTTGCTAATTACTTTAGGTATAAAACCCTAAAAAAAAAGTAGTTTGAAAAATCAGGTATTTCACATTAAAATTTTGTGTGGTCTGTGTTCTTTTGAGAAGTTTGGCAGAGAGGAAGGCACAGGAAGGCTTGCTTTGCAATGTCCTTATGTTGCAGAATGCTGTTCTCTGCAATATAATTGGTCCTGACAGTCCAAATACTACATCTGGCTTGAGTTCAAATAACTTCAGATAGGTAAAGATGAGCAGAAAAAGGCAGGTTAAAGGCAATGCCACCAGCTTTGTGTCAGTCAAATGGTTGCTGATTTTCTCGTGGAAGTTATTAAAAAGACTCACATTAAACCCACAAAAAAAGAAAGGGCTCTTCCTTTGCAGGCCGGGTTGTCAGTTTGGGACTGGCCTACAATAAGTTTGCCATGTTGCTTCCCTTTATTTACATTTAAAGGCTGCCCAGCGTGATTTGGGTGCCCAGCACTGACATCACTGAGCAATGTCTGAAGAATGTTTGTGTGCCAGAGCAGGGTTTCAGTTTAGGAAGGTGTGGCAGTTCAATGCAAGTATTTAGGTGTGTGCTGCAATACAGCCCAGAAGGGAGGCCGAGGCTTGGGAGTTACATGGGAATAGTTCAGCTCCTCTGTCCTGCCAGGGCACAGGGACCGTGCTGGCAGGGGCTGCTACCCAGGACAAATGGTTGAGCTGCACACTTGTACGAAAAACAGTTGTTCTGAAATACATCAAAGCTGTGATGACAAACCAAGGATAAATTACCTTGTGTTCTGCCTTACTGATTGCTCAGGTAGCACATGTAATCTGATTTTACCTCACCTGTCTTCAAAGAGGTAGTCTCTAACATCCAACTACTCATGTATGAAGGATGGTGCTAAACAGACTGATTGTCCAGCCGTTGTTTGTGAAGGGCTGGGTTGGATCATTGTCAAACGGAGCCCATTTCACAGATCCAGTGCTCCAGTCCCCCTGCTCCCCCATGTTGTTAATGCCCACCATTCCTGGTGGGTTTAAGCCCTCCTTTTCAGTGGCCTAAGAAAATATTTTATTTGGAGTTAAAACATTGTGGAAATTTTAAATCATGCAGTTAACTAAGCCTCTCTAAAAACCCTTAGTGATTTTTTAGTGAGTTATCTTAAACATCTGGATACTCCCAATAGATATATTTTTACTATAATATCTAGATTATAATAGTAATAATATAATTATATTACATAACAATATAATAGAAGTAATTATAATAAATATGTACTGTTTAATATGCTAGATTTGAATATAATCTTTTTAAATGATACGAGAACAGGAAAAATGGCACTCACTGGCAGCCTGGTGGGATTCAGGGTGTGACTGGCGGGGCAGGCCGGGCAGCTGCAGTGAAGGGCACAGCAGGGCAGGTGTCCCAGCTGCGGCGCTGGCGGGTCCCGGTTTGCCCCAGCCCGTCCCGCTGTTGCGGGTGTGGATGTGTCGGTCCCTCTGCTCGCACCGCGTGTGCCGCGCGTCCTCTGGCGGCGGCCCCGGGCAGGCTGTGCGGGCAGGATCGCCCTGCTGGGGCCGCAGCCAGGGAACCCCAGGTACAGCGGCTCGCCCTCCTCCCTGCCCTGCTGCAGCTGCAATTTGGGATTTGCTCTCGTCTGAAGCCACGGCTTTGCATTTCTAACGCGGGTCGCTCTCCGCTCCTTCCTTTAGAACATCTTGCACAGAATATTTCCAAGTCACACATGGAAACTTGCCAGTACTTGAGAGAGGAGTTGCAGCAGATAACATGGCAAACTTTTCTGCAGGAGGAGATCGAGAACTACCAGAACAAGGTATGAAAGCTCGCCAGGCTGCGGCACGGGTTCTTTCAAGCATGGTGTTTCCATAACACACTGCAAAATTCACTTCTTCACTGCTTTCTCTTTACTAGCAGGAATGTATATTTCTGTGTGTTTTAAAAATGTGCTGGAATCAAAAGCAGCAAGATGGTCAGGAGATCCTTTGCATTTGTGATTTGTACAGGTATAGGAAAAGGCAAAACCATTTTCCTAAGATCTGTGATAAAAGATAAGAAACCACAGGAATTTTTTCAATCCTAGATGGCATGTTATTTTTTTCTCTTAATTTTCAACCTCCTGGATCAACAGCAGCACAAGCTGAAGCCACGAAGTCTTTTGATTTTAGGTGGTGTGTTTTGTTTTGAGTTGATAAACACCAAACTCATTCACTCTCCAGTTGTCCCTCAGTGTTTGGGTTTTCCCTGTGGAATGGCAGCGCATTGTCCATGGTGCTGCCACCCCCCTGGGGTACTGTAAGATCTGGTCAATGTTTGCAGTTCCAACGTGCCTTCCATCCACAAACTGCTGCCATTGGCTACTTGTGGAGAGCTGTCCTGGGGAGCACTACTAAGGCACCTGTGCTTCCAACATGTCTTTCATTACCAGAGAAGAACATTTAACCTTTAAGAATATCTTGTTTTCTACAATTAGGTAATTTCATTCTGCATTATTATCAACATATGACAAACTCTCCACTTGCACACCTTCTTTATGTCGTTCACAAGATGATCTTCATATACAGTCATCTTTTTATGTGTCCTTCTGAAGATGAGCGAGGCAGATAATTTACATCCAGTACAAAACACAGAACCTGTGATTATGCCCTGCTATTGACGCAGTGAATAAAATTGCTGCTGAAGTGACCAGAACCGTTACACTTTGACATTTTTGGCTTATATGAAATAAAAATACTCCAACCTGGCTCTCTCCTGGCATGACCTGAAGAAGTCTTGCGTGTTTGCATTGTCACTGCACACGAGGCCTTGGCTTGGAGGTCAATTCCCCATTTTATCAGCAGACTGGGGCCAGGAGTGCTGGGGACAATTCACTCCAGGCTTTTTCTGACTCAGTTTTCCTCGATGCCAGTGAGCTTTGCCAGCCCTGGTCAGTAATTTGTGCATCTCTCTTCTCTCCCACAGCAGAGGGAGGTAATGTGGCAGTTGTGCGCAGTCAAAATCACAGAAGCTATTCAGTATGTAGTGGAATTTGCCAAACGCATTGATGGCTTTATGGAACTGTGTCAAAACGATCAAATTGTGCTTTTAAAAGCAGGTATGTGGGTCACTTTTAAGGTCTGCTTCTGTTAGTTTAACGGAGGGAGGTGTTACTTGTATATGGTGATTGCAAATGCAAATATTCATATGTAGTACAGTGATAATTTAAAATAACATAGGGGAAAACCTTACAAATTGTCTCGGCAGTAACATCATTGTAGATACTCTGGATAGGAGGAGTTCCAGTCTATTACTGAGTTTGCAATATGAACAATGAGACTTTGTAAAGATGAAAAAAGCTGAGTTCAGATTTTTTTTTATTTTGGATTACTAATAGTGAATTCCATATTTCAAGGTAAAAATCCAGATTGTTCTCTGCAAGAGATTGTAGAAGTAAGGCAGTTTACAAATATTGGACCAAGCTGTCAAAGCTTTGTAAATGAGCTGCATTGACTTCAGAGACTTCATTACTCTGAAAAGAATTATTAGAGTTTGTTAGCAATAACTAAGTTGCTTTAGCAAAAACTTCTGCAGGGGTTTATGGGAATTCTTTTAACTCCAGTAGCAAAGCAGGCTGTGCTCTGTTACACCACAGGAACCTCTTACCCTGCTCGATAGATGATGAAAGCAGAGCATTATTTTTAAACCCTCACTCGCTCTTTGCAGCTGAAGTCTCGATTTCCAGAGTCAAACATACACTGTTTCTGTTTTAGGGTCTTTAGAGGTTGTGTTCATCAGAATGTGCCGTGCCTTTGACTCCCAGAACAACACAGTCTACTTTGATGGCAAGTATGCTAGCCCAGAGGTTTTCAAGTCCTTAGGTAAGGAAATGTCAAGCGTTGTGCCTTAAAAAAAAATGGAATAAAAATAATAAGGTGGAAAAGCAAGGGAAAAGAGCTGTTTTGAAAAAAAATCAGGCTATAGTATTGAAATGAAAGAGCTGCAAAGCTCAAACTGCTTGTTTTGTAAGCAGTCGTGCTGGCTCTGTTTGAGGCCAGGCTGATTGCAGGAGTTCAAACAGCTTCACTCTGTGCAGTAAAGGACTGATGGTGTTCAAATTCAACGTTTGGATGAGGGTAGAGCAGTTTGGACTCACTTGTTGAGAGCAGAAGCCCAGATTTCATATCTAGTGTAACACTTTGTATATCCTGTTGGGAAAGGCAGCAGATTTTCAGGTAACTTTGCATATCCTGACGTTACTGCTTTGAAGATGTTAATAGTGTTTTATAACCGGCCAAGTCCAGTTATTTGCAGGTAAAACACTGTAAATCAATTTTTTTATTAAACCACAGTTCCTGTATATTCTTTCTAATTTTAAAGGGATGTATTTCACTGGGTGTAGATTTGGGCTGTTTTGGAGGGCAGTGGAAACACCTCAGTGGAGAATGAATGCTGTGCCATCACTGAAGTGCTCTCTGCCTTCCTAAACCCCCTCGAGGTACAAGGTCAGAGTGCAAACAGTTCTGGGCTCCAGGGAAACACAATTTGCTCTGTTAGCAGCTGTATGCAGAGGTTTAGGCTGGGTGGGGTGAGATGTGCAGAGGAAAGGCTGGAAGGGCTCCACTCGTGCCAGCCCGTACCTGGGTGGTAGCAGCAGTGAGCTGGCTGACACCGTGTGAGCAGGAGGGAGGGAAGGAGACACAGCTCCTCTGCTGCATGACAAGTGTTCAGACCTTGGCTCCTCCCTCTGCTCTGCATGTTCCTCGTGTGCCTCTCTGTTCCCCCACTCCCTGTGCTCAAGTCCTAAAGCCAGCACTTTGTAAGGCCACGTTTCCAGCCTCCTGTCCACACTGACACGAGAAAGCTCCATGTAGAGCAGAACCAAAGCTAAACCAGTTTTGAGCTGGAAAGTAAATGGCTTGAGATTCGCGCACATTTGGCCCCCAAGAACCATATGTAGCAAAGATCCAACGTGCAAAAACTTCCAAGCACTGGCTGTGGGAGCTGGGGACCTGTGGGAATGGGGTAATAAGCTCAAGGATGAGTGAGATCCCACTACCCTCACTTCACACTCCTTAAGGGGAAGACCATTCACCTGTGAAGTATTTTACATCTATTTCTCATCTGCATCAGAATAAATCAATAGCTTTGTGGCTCTGAAGTAGTTTTAAACGATGTGACATGAGCTGTGTCTTCTTTTTGGCAGGTTGTGAAGACTTCATTAGTTTTGTGTTTGAATTTGGAAAAAGTTTATGTTCTATGCACCTGACAGAAGATGAAATAGCTTTGTTTTCTGCGTTTGTTTTAATGTCAGCAGGTAAGAGATGAAGCTTTCCTCTGGCTTTGTTTGGTTAGAGGTCGTTTTTATTTTGAGCTCTTTTTAATGGTAACATTAAGACTCTCAGGTAGTGTGGAAATGTCACATCTTTTGGAGTGTCTCCTTCACCAAAAGTTTTATTTTAATAGACACAAGTGGGAATTTAGCGATCAGTTTGTTAAGTTGTAAATCCTAATGTAAGCCCTCGTCTTCCACATTTTCACCTTGCTGAGGACTCAGCTGCTTTAGAAAAAAGCTGAAATGCCTGTGAGTGAGACCGCTGGGCCGATCCTGGTGAGACAGGCAGAAGGTGGACAGTGAATTCACAGAGTAAGCTTCCCACACGTGTGGGTGGTCACAGGACAGGAAGCTTCCAGCCCCACCTCAGGCCTGGTGAGCAGCATTGCCCTGGTGGTGTGGTACGAAGCCCCAGGGGAGCTGAGGTATCTGCCCCACTGCAGGCCCGTCACACACGGAATGTAGCAGCTCATACTACATTTCTGCCACGAAGTTTAGGAGCTGCTTTTTGGTTTTTTAATACCTGAATCTGTGCATCTGTTTTTCTGTAAGTCACTGGAGATCTTTGCGAGATCCACTCCAACTGCTTGTTCATTATATGATCTGTTCATTTTCCAGTGTAAAGCTAATAGCTTCATTTTGTAAATACCCTGCATTTCACAGGCCTTTATAGCAAATGACTAATAAATCTTACTCAGGTTCATTGCATTCTTCTAATTAAGGGCTTTATAAAAGTAATTTAATTGCATGTGACCATTGTACTGCAGAACCTGTTAATTTTGAGGCTCGTTTTCTATATGAGGGCATGTAAAAGTGGCAGGCAGTTGCAAACAGGAAGGATGACTGTGGCAGAGACTCGGTAGTTCTGGGGCACTGTGAGCCCTGTGTGCAGTACTAGAGGTGTTAACTCCCTTTATGTTCAGATCGCTCATGGCTTCAGGAGAAAGTGAAAATCGAAAAGCTCCAACAGAAGATCCAGCTGGCACTTCAGCATGTCCTACAGAAGAACCACCGAGAGGATGGGATTCTAACAAAGGTAAGAGTCAGAGTGGGCCACTGCACCTGACTGAAAATATGCCTTCTTATGAACACTGTGCTCATCGAGGTGTAAAAGCTTTGACACAGTTCGTTTGTTATTTATAAACCCCGAGTTCTTTGTTCAAAATCAAGGTGCTTAGCTGACTATTTACCAAAAACCAGAAGAGGTGAAATGCTGATGTGGTAGGGAACAGGGCTGATAGTGGTCTGAAAGGAAGGATTTTGATGTGGAGCTTCATGAAAAGTGATGAAGGTTTTTTATCCTAGTTCTCCTACACGACTTTTCTGCCACACAGTGCTATTTCAGTTCTCCAAGATGCAGCCTTAATCCTTGTGGGATCTCTGCCTGCATGACAATTAAGTTTTTATTACATGCAATACCCAAACTAAACTTGTTTTTCAGACTTCATGAGAAGTTCCCCACACAGCCTTTTTCTCAGTTCTTCCAAATCCTGAAGCCTAGGGGAAAGGGACCCCATGTACTATTATGCTCATCTGAAGTATCTTCACATCATTTTTCAGAAAAGAAAAAGTGGTGTGATGTTACAAGAAGTAAATCTGGAGAACTGAGGAAAAATAGGCCCTTCCTGACAGAGGTAGTTCCTCCTACAACTCTGCACAGGCAGGAAGCTTCTGCTTAGTTTCCCACCACAGAATTCATTGCAATAGAAGAAGCAGGAGGGTCCAGCTTTGTGGATTTTCTCCATTTCACATCCTGGCTCGTGGACTCCTTTTTTTAGTGTATACCTTTGTTGGAAGGAAGTTTTTTCCATATGCTTTGATCCCAATGCTTTACTCAGTAGCTTCAGGGAGGTACCCAGATATTTTTGTGATATTTTTGAAGTACCTGTTTTTCACCTTATTTGGCTTAAATAAGTCCAGCGTGTTGCATTGCCAGTTCCCTCCATAGTACTCACAGTGGGTTTAGAAGCAGTTGGGCTGCCTTTTCCCAAGAGCACGATTTAGTTGCATGAACGAAGATCCAGCTCTGAAATTCTGTGTCGATCCAGAGAGGAAAGCTAATGATACATTTTCCCAGGAACTTGGAGATTATTTCACAAACAGCCGTGAATCCCTTGGGTAAATCCCTTTAATGCTCCCCCGGCTGTGCAGCTGAAGTGTCATTGCTGAGGAGAACAGTTGTGTTTGGGAGAGTTTAATCCTTGCAGCGGGATCGGGAGGGCTGGTTCCACGGCTGACCATATGACTTTGTTCATCTCTTTACAGTTAATATGCAAAGTGTCTACTTTAAGAGCACTGTGTGGACGACATACAGAAAAGCTTATGGCATTTAAAGCAATATACCCAGACATTGTGCGACTTCATTTTCCTCCACTTTACAAGGAGTTGTTCACTTCAGAGTTTGAGCCAGCAATGCAAATTGATGGGTAAACGTATCACCTAAGCACTTCTAGAATGTCTGAAGTACAAACATTAAAACAAAAGAAAGGAAAAAAAAAGGAAAAAAAAAAAAAAAGAAAGAAAACCAAGACACTTTATATGGCCCTGCACAGACCTAGGGAGCCAACACACTGCACATCTCTTGGCGGTCGGGGTCAGGCGAAGGATGGGAAACAATGACACAAAGTTGAACTTGTTTTTCTCATGCATATGATTTCCATTATGCCTACAAATATGGACCCTTTTTCTGTCTCAGCTTCTCAATCCTTGACCTCTGTTTACACAGACTGAGGGTACTAATGTCAGAAGGTTGTTTTCTCCTGTAGTTCACTGCCCAGACTTTTGACAGAACAATCAATTTGTTGATCAGAACAGAGTCCACCCAATAATCAGCGACTGGTGTGAGGTGCAGAGATTTCAGCATCAGTTTGCACAACTTGCTCATTGTTTCATGAAGGACGATTTTTTTTCACCTACCACTGTTTGCCAGTAGACAGAACGGCATGAAAAGGGTCCATAGCAATAGCAACAATAGCATTATAATATATTACAGGGTAAATGGGCATGAAGACTATATATAGCAAAAGAGATATTGTTTATATATTGTTTTAATTAATATAAAATGTAGTTACTGGTATAGCTTTTCTTGTTGAATTGATAAGGCACTTTCATTTTGCACCTTTTTTCTTTAAATTAAATGCTAGCGTGTTCATTGTTGTGTTGCATGTGCACCAGAAATTCAAGTTTAACTGAAAAAGGTTTGGCAGGTACTGGTACATTGGGAGGTATTTATGCTGCTGTTTTCCATGTTACTTTTAAAGAGAGGCTGGTCATATCCTGAAATGGTTACAGATTTTTTTAAAGAGTTGAAAATAATGACAATTTTCTACGTAAAAATAATCTTTCCAGATATGAAATTCAAAGGTACTTTTATTTTCACGTCTTTCAAATCTGGATGTTTAAAATCACATGCCTAAATTCAGATTTAAGTGCACAAGTCAAAAGCCTCGTTGTCAAAGGTGCTGAGTTTCCACTGTCAGAGTCAAACTAAGCGATTCCAGCTCATTTCCAAATGAGTACCCACAGCACCTCTGAAAATCAGGCTGGTAGATGGTGTGTTTGTGCCCACCGTAAATCCAGGTTTGAAGATACTTACTCAAGTCTGTATCTACAGTAAAAGTATGTGTGTATGACACGTATGTGGAAAAGTAATTTTGATACATAATATTCCATACTTTTGCACTCCATATGGTAAACAATGCCTTCAGACTCACACTCAGCAAAGCCCAGAGGAGGTCTGACTGCAGGGAGGTGAGGTGCTGACCCCTGTTCTTCCAGCATCTAGCACTTCAGCTCCAGGGAGCTGATCAGACAAGTCCATTGCTCTCCTTATTTAGAAAGAAGCACTTTAAAGTTCAGCAAATGGGGACTAACAGAGTAAAGGCACACTGTTGCTAGAAAGCATTGCTTCAACTCTGTATAATGGCTGGAAATCATTAATATCAGAAATCTGCATTCTGTAATTCTGATTCCTGCACTGCAGAACCAACCAATAGGCTGAATCTTGCAGTCTTATTAATTACCTTCCCTCCAGGAAGAATTCTGTCTCAGAGCAAATCTGGCAGCAAACCCAGTGCTGAAGGAGGCAGATCCACAGTAAACAACCTTACAGACTCAACTGTGGCTGTTTGAGCCAGAGGTTTGGATGAGATGGAGATGCATAACTGGATGCCCTGTGGGCCTACACAAAGGAAGTTTCTGATAAAGTACAAAAGAAAAAGCTAGGAACTTCATAAAAGGAAAAGGAATGAGACAGAATGTGCTTTAGTTTCCCAGGGTCAACAATCTCATAGATGTTGCAGTTGTTGAGATGTAACACGTGAGGAGAAGCACACTGGAGCCTAAGGAGTTTAGAAAGGAGAATGGGGTCACTTGGTTATGAGTGGCAAAATACAGGTTTATTCTGTGATTTGAACACATTTCCTTTGGGGTCAGGTTGAGACATTTAGCTGTGACCCCCGCTGAAGTGTGACAGTGTGGACATCAGGGAAGCTCAGAGCTGTCACTGCTCTGCAGGGTTTGAGGGAGGGGGACAGGAGCATCACTTTCCTCCCCAGAGCAGTGACCCCAGTGTGGGAGGGCAGCACCTGCAGCCCTGGGAGCACTGGATGGAGTCAGGAGAGGGCTCCTGGGAAAAGCTCAGAGCTGTCCTTTGCTGCTCCATCCTGCTGCTCCTGGGGAGGGGGCTCAGCCCAGCCCGTGCCCTGCCCATCCCACTGGAACGTCTGGAATCATTGTTTACTTTACTGGAGTAACTGGCACGATATGGTACTTGCATTCTAATGTCTGAAACAACCCTTTTAACTAACAAATGTTTTCTGAATGTGACCAGCCTTAGGTGCTAGTCCTGTAAAGATCAACTAAACTTAATCTCAGTGTCAACTAATGAGTACTGATGTAAGACCTGTACGTCGTTAGAGAGCAAAACACAACTCCTGCTTGTGACAATATGTAGACTACCAGGTAAAAAATATGGGGATTAATTTTCAGTCACATCCTTTCTCTTACCTTTTCCTGATGAATATTAGTACTTGACCAGGCACCTCGGTGCCAGTGGTTTTGTTTGGAATCTAGTTTGGCATATTTACACTCCTAAGTCATTGACACCACCATTTTTGGAGCATTTACTAATAAAATACATAACCATAAAAGGTTTCAGACAGGGCTTTAGCTGACAGTGATCTTCCAGGCCAGAATGGGCTGTCATTTTTGCTGGTGGGAGCTCCTGTGCTGGTCCCTTGTTAAATCAGGCTGTGCACACCCCCCAGGTAACTCTGCTTTCCTGGTCCCAGGGAACAACCACTTGGCAAAAAAATTGTAATTCTTGGTTTGCTCTCCGTGGAGAGGGGAAGAAAGGGCTCCAGCCTGGCAGAGGTACTGATGAGACATCTGCCAAGGAGGCTTTTCTGAAAGGGTGGTGGCCCTGTGAGAACCAGCACAGCAGAGGAAGTGCATCTGCCCGACTTCTGGACCGGGGCTGGTGTCAGATGGTCACCCTGATCCTCAGTTACAGAACATACCTGAGGTCAGTGGGTACTCAGGAGTATTGTCACAATCTGCCCAGTTCACTACAAATAGAACACTAGGATGGCTGAAGATAAAGGAATACATTAGGGTGTATCACCTGGTCCTCAGAGTCTGCCCAGATGTTTTCGTTGGGTTATATCTACCCATGGAGATGTTTTCTGGCTTTCTAGAAGGAGACACTGCCCTGTCATTGGAACCACCCTAATGTGTGTGTCATCCCCTCCAGCACTGTTTGACATTGAAAAACTATGGGATTAGGTAAAAAAGGGAGGCTGTTTTTAAGTTTGGTTGTTCTTTATTAGCTTCTCTTAGTCTGGATACCAAGATATCTGTGTATGTGCACCTGTGTGTGTGTGAGAGAGTCCATTGTGTGAGCACACGAGTGTTTGTGTGGGTCCGTGTGAGTGGCTGCTTCTAGGCTGTTCAGTGTCAATGAATAAAGAAAATGTATTCAAAATACTTAAGTCAAAAATAGAAGGTGGAAAAAAGATTTATTCTATACAAAGCCTTGTCTGGACCACTTTAGAGAGACTTCTATTTTTTTAACCCTTCTATAAATGTTTGATGGCACTTGAAATATTCCTGCAATAAAATGTGATTTGTGTAAACATTAAAAAAAAAAAAAAGATTTTGTAATGTGAAACAATGAAAGAAAGTAATGTAATTTTTCTAAAAAACAAAAAAAAAACCACAAACGAACGAACTTTGTATTATTTTCTTGATGGAATTTGTCTATTTGTCTTTGGAAAACTTTTTATTTCATTGAATGTGCCATAGTAGAGGTGTGTTTCTCTTCTTCTTTCTTTTTATGGTTGTTTTTACATTTTAGATTAAAGGAATAGCTGTGTTCCGACATTCCAAAATGCAAGATGACATAGCAGTCACGATTAAAAGGTTTGATTAGTAAGCTTCAATCATTGTTGCTTTTTTTGCACATGTTCTTCATTCCTCTACAGTGCAATATGTACATAGAGCACTTGCGGGTGTAACCTTGATCCCTCAGGGAAAAATACATATTTGTACAGGATTTTTCTTTTTTTTTGCCTTTTTTCTTTTCTTTCCTTTTTTTTTTTTTTTTTTTTTTTTTTTTTTTTTTTTTTTTTTTTTTTTTCTTTTTTTTTTTTTCTTTTTCCTTTTTTTTGCTAAGGAATGTCGATTGAATCACTTGTCTGTTGTTGAGGGGCAGCCAGATAATAATCCTAAACCACTGTCACAAAACATTGATTGTTTAAATTTTGCGCCCTTTTATTATTTAAAAAAAAAAGAAAAATAAAAGTTATTTTCTGACAGTTCTTTGTGCTGATTGGTGAGAAAAAGGGTAAATAGATAAGCACCTTATGATTGACTTAACTGTGAATGACAATCCATCTCGTTTCCAACAAGAGAAGCCCTATCATTTTGGAGCTGGGGTTATGAGGCAGAAACTAATGTGCTCAGGGATCTTCTAAAACTCTTCAACAGGGTGGCCAGTACTGCTGGTGGAACAAATTGCTTTTTAAAAAATCTGCTCGTATTCCTTCCCTCCCCCTCCCCCCCAGGCACAGGAGAACTGGGTATTTTTGTTAGCTGTGTGTGCCTCGTTCTCTGAGTCACTTCTGCAGCACAGCTGCTTTTTGGTCGCTATTTTGTTCAAGACAAAACTCCAAACAGCGCAAAGGCTTCGCAGTTATATTTTAGGCAATAAAAGCTGACCCACTAAAGAAAGGATTGCAATTAATTTCAGTACCCTCTGGACGTTTTTATAATGATAGGACTATTTTTCCAGCTGCAGTTCGATATTTTGCAACAGGAAATGGCTTTTCAGTATTTAAGTTGTCAAAGAAAACGGGTCAGTTGCTGGTGGTACATTAGGAGTGAAAAGGTCATGGTTAGGTGTCAGCAGTGATGTCACATAGAAAGGGACACAGATGTGCAGGATCAAGCGTTGTCTGTCGTTGTTGCAGGTGTTTCATGGTAAAGCAAAAGACCTGAGTGGAGAGAACACTGAGGCTGAAGACACTGTCATGTGCAGTACAGCAGATAGAGCCATTCCCAGGGATTTTGCAGTGGCACCAGCAGTGCCTGGGCAGTGTCCCAGTGCCAGGCTGCAAGATGCTGGAAGCCTGGCCCAATGAGCCATGCTTGTGGCTTCACAAGAGCAGGTAACTGGGAGCAGAGGGAGCCAGACCTCAGCCTTTGGTCACACTGGGGAGACAGGGACTTTCTCCATCAAACCTGTCTGTCTGCTTGCAGAAAGCACCAGTTTTCCAGCATCTTGGAGGGCTTCTCAGGGGTGTTTGGCTTCCAGCTGTTTGATTGCTTAGGAAACAGGGAAACAAGTGGCTTCCCAGCTGCCAGTGAGTTTAGCGTGGGATGGCCTTCCCCAGCACTGCCCTCCTGAGCAGTTGGTGAGCTGCAGCTCCAGCAGGGAATTCCTGCTGCTGATCTCAACAGACCCCGTTCTTTCCATGCTTGCACATCAATGAAACCTCTTCTTAGAATGGACAATCTGTCAGATGGTTAACTGTGCAGTGGGATGAGCCAAACATTACAGTTTTTTTTTTTTTGGCTTGGCATAGACAGTCCCCAGTCTGTACTGGATGAACCGAACAGGTTACACAGGATAAGCTATTTGCAAACAATGTGTGTTTTTTTTCCCTAGACATTCCTAAACTCTCCAATGTAGATAACCCTATTAATATAAATGGCAGAAACAGCATTTACTATACAATAGCCAAAAATAATAAGCAATTTTCTCTTGAGTATTCAGTGTATGAAATTCTACCTGTGTTTGTGATTCAGATTGCACAGAACACCTTTATTTTCCCTAGCTGGAGAAATATAACTATTAGAATTATTTTTTCATAATTAATACTAATATTTATTACTTTAAAAATTTCATCCATTAATATATTTGAATATGAGCCTCCTATTTTCTTTTTGCTTAAATATTCCTGTCAGTAAATCATTTGGTGGAAATGAGGGCACATGCATAGAGATACCAAATACAACAACAAAAAGCTAAGTTATCAAATGTTAAGGACTATTTATTTAAAAATCCTTGCAGTATGTGCTTTAACTCTAGTACTGTGACAATGGCTCACTACGTAATGCTCAGTCACTGGACTTGGGGGGGAAATGTGTAACATTTAGGAGAATATACAGTCTATCTTTGGAACTTCAGGTACTAAATAGAATTTTAACATCGAAACAGAAGCTGTATTCTACCTTTTCCATATGTAGTGTTGCTGTTTGTATTTTTTTTTTGCCTTTATCATTGGTAGAATATAGCAATAACTTTATAGCAATAAGTAGGCTATCCAAATAGGAAACAAAACATGATAAAGGCTTCAGATCAATACTCATGGGTTCACTTTTTGTGCCACAAGATTCACTTGTATGTCTTCCCTCATCATCTCATCACTTCTCCAAGCTGAGCTTCACCATCAAGTTATCCCACTTGATGTGTGCCATCCCCTCTCTGTTCCATGTTCCATGTGCATGCCGTGGGTGTTCCCCCGTGCTGTGGGTATTGTTTTGCCGTGTCAGTGTTTCTCAAGGGTTCTCAAAGCACGGGCTCGGGGGCTGTTTCTCCACAGGGCTCCCTTTGCTGGAGCTGTGGTCAGTGGCAGTCTCCTCACTGAGGGAGCCGAGCAGCTGTTCCTGGGAATTCTGGGCTGCTGCAAACGCTGGCAGCACCCTGGCAGCTCCTGCAGCTGCCCTGGTGTGGGGCTGAGCTGCATCTGCAGCTCCCTGGGAGTGTGTTCCCTGTGCCAGCACAGCCCCTGTCGGTGCTGGAGCCCCACTCTGCTCCCCCAGCGCAGGGTTCCCTCAAGGGCTCTGGGAGGGATCTGAACGCTCCCCCAGCACAGGGTTCTTCCCCAGGGGCTCTGGGAGGGATCTGAACGCTCCCCCAGCGCAGGGTTCTCCCCCAGGGGCTGTGGGAGGGATCTGAACGCTCCCCCAGCGCAGGGTTCTCCCCCAGGGGCTCTGGGAGGGATCTGAAGCTCTGGCAGTGCTCAGGTAACCAGCTGTAACTCACTTTGAGAAACGCTAGGCCAGGTCACCCCGCATTGTCAGTGTGGAGGCACAGCCCTTGCAGGACCTGGCAATCTGTAATCTCATCTCTGCTGAGGCAGAGAATTCCTAAGCAATACAGTGAATTGTAGTTCACAACAAGGCAAACGTACTGTACACCTTTGGAAATCCAAACGCTCCTCATTTCTACACTGATTTCCAACGAGTCCCAGAACAGTGGTCAATGTTTGAAGTGTTAGGACATTAACTGGCTGCTTCTTTCTGTGTAACTGTATTGTCTGCCTGCTCCTTTTCTGGAGAAGTGTTTTTGTATTGGATGTTTGGGCCAATGGGAGGCTTCAAGCTACAATGTATTTTCCCAGATTAAATATATTTAACGTATGACAAACCCCAGACAAGGCTTTTTAAAATGTATAAAGAACTGCAGTGTTAGGTGGTTTATTTGCAAACTGTTTTCAATGTTGTCCATTTTTATGGCACCTTTAACAATATTCTTGTTTCCAAAGTACAAAAAAAAAAAGGTTAAAAATACTCTAGCCATAACTGAATGTCAAGCAATAAAAACAAATGACTTTTTGTGCATAGATTTAAAAGAAATACAAGTTTTAGACATCTGCATGTAAATGCAATCTCTTGTTTACTGCTTTCTTAAACTTGAGCAACTGATTCCTTATTTTACTACTAATTTAAGGACTTGTAATGGCCTGTAAACATTTTATCTTGCTCTATTCTTTCAACTCTAACTTTGTCTCTGCTTTGGAGTCATAATACTTAATGTTGTTCTGCTCACCTCTATACAGTTAACTTTTTGCTTTCATTCTGTATAGATAAAGTTATACTATAAACAGCCTACACAGTGCAAATATTTATCTGTTTATCAAATACCACATTATGCTGTATAATATCTGTTTTACTATATAATCTATTTTAGACATAGCTGTTTAGAACTAGAGTGTGCTATTTTTGTGTTTTTCTGATGTGTGGTGCTAGATAAGTTACTTTTGTGAACAAAAACAAACAAACCCCTTTTATTCCTAGACAATACCACCTTTGGGTCTTGTTAATTTCACTGAGTATAACTATATATAAATATATATATTTGTGTATATATATATATACACCAACATATGCCCAACAAGTACCTGTATCAGAGTACAAGATTTGGGACATGGTTTTCTCTTTAAATGCATAGTGTCATTATATAAATTATTCTATAGTATATTTAATAAGGAGAAAATTACTTCACCGGTACAGATACTTGATATCGAATGTAGAATTTTTTTTTCTACATTATTAACATTATTAATTATTAACGTTATTAAAAATGTTCTGTCCAGCTTGTTACCCTTTCGGTTACTAAAAGAGTCTGCCTGAATTGTATCAAACCCGAGACAAACACCTGCCGTGCCAGTGCAGAGCAATGGCAGGGTGCTGGCTGTGTGGAGGGGAGGGAGGAGGTGCTGTGGAGTTGCCCCAGGGCTGTAGCTGCTCTCTGCTGGGTGCCCTCCTCCTGCTCCCCGGGGTGGCAGCTGAACACGCTCCCACTGCCCCTGCCCGGGGTGTGCCCGGGCCAGGCCTGCACTGAGCCGCAGGGGCTGCAAATAGGAACGCTCTGGAACTCTTCCATACACAGGGACGGCTCAGTTCCTCCCTGGATATGCTTTAGAACCAGGCACGCATATCCAGGGACAGCCAGTAGCAACTAAAGTTCGTTAAGAAGTGGAATTTGCAACGTTTTGTCAGGTATGGGGGTTTTGTTTCTCTTTTTTCATGTATACCTTAATTTACGTAGCCACGTACCCTTCAAAGTACTCCCGTTCCCCCGTTCCCTTCATTCTAGATATTGTTTTCATGTGCATTCTTAAAAACTGATGGATATCAAATATCTAACTAAGGAGGTAATTAACCTTTTAAATATTTATTAGAATTTTTCTGTAATATTACTGAATTTATAAGATCTTTAGCAAAGATTTTTGAGCAATTTATTAATAACAATGTTTCTGTTTACTGCACTTTTTGATAATAGAAGGTAGTGAATTTTAAAGCCATGGTTCTTGGCTTCCATGCACTGCTTTTATACCCTCAATCCAAGGAATATATATATATAAATAATTTTTTTTAAAACAGCAAACATACTGTTGACCTAAAAACAAATACAAACTTTACTGCACCGTGGGTATATTTTCATAAGTGGAATGTTTAACTGCAAACACTATCAGGACAATTATAAAAACCTCTTGAAGCTACAATCTTATTTAAATATAAGCCATGACAATTTTATTTTCCCTTGTTGATTTAAGTCACCTTTTGATATTTTCAAAGAGAAAAGGACTCACTCTTAAATTTGTACGTTCCAACCTCCGGCTGATGCCCGTAACACGTTCCCCCATTGTCCGAAGAGTTTGATATATTTATGCAAAACCATTTGGGTAACATTTGTCCTCCCTCTTTACTAAATATTCAGTGTACCAACGCCAGAATCAATGCTGATTACAAACACACATCAGATCGAAGATTAAGCACACAGACTTAAAAAACCTCGTTGAGTGAAACGCTCAGATTTCTTGTAAATACACACAGGCTGAAATGCAATGATACTGTACATGTAAATATGTGCTGTCTGTTATGTGTACAGTATGTATAAATTCCTTTTCTAGCCACAATCAAGTGTAAGCCATCAAGAGGAATACTAAAGTGGTATTGTACTAAACCTTTGCTAATGATCTTTACCCAGTCACTTCACTTGTCCCCCTCATGGACCTTTCCAGCTCACTCCTACAATAGCCTGCTTATATTCGAGTTTGTTATTTTACTCGGTCCCGAAAAAAGTATTTTGATTCATTTTGTAAATATGACTGTAAAAATAAGAGATTTAATGTTGTCTTTTAAATACTCCAATTTTCATTCTAATATGAATGTTGTTATATTGTACTTAGAAACTGTACCTTTAATATTACATTACCTTTATTAAGTGCATTGAACACATCGATTTTAGATGTGCTTTATGTACTGTTATCCTGTAATAAAACTTCAGCTTCTAATGGAAAAATCTGTCTTAACTTTTTGTCGGTAGCATCTTGCTAGTTATTCTGAGCTGTGGTTAGGAGGTTTATTCCTCAAGGAATGCACCGATACAAAATCAGGCTGTGCTTCTAAGCCCATGTGTCAGAGCTGTGTTCACACAAACATCTGTCAGCAGGGAAACAGGACAACTCCTGAATGCCTTTTAAGCTCCCCTTTTGGCCAACAAGAGCTTTAACCCTTCTCAGAATGGATGTGGATTGATCTACCTTCGCTCCCCTCTCCAGAGGTCACAGGCAGGGCCACACAGAGCTGTTTGTCCAGGACCATGCCCAACTTTTGAGAGTGTCTCCAAGGATAGTGACCCCAGAACCTCCCTGGGCAGCCTGTGCCAGTGTTTGTCACAGTGGAAACATGTTCCCTGACGTTTGTGTTTATGCCGTGGGAGTAAAAAGATCACCTGCAGGAAGTAGCACCATTTTATAAAAAGCAAAAAAAACCAAAAAAACAACAAAACACCACTAAAAACTCACCAAGATAAGCCTCCTGGTCATTCAGCTGTGTCACTGGTGCCATACCTGGTCTGGGCAGTGAGATCACTCGAGGCTCCTCCACCAGTGGGCTCTGGATGGGTCCAGCAGGGACAGGAAACCTTCCCGCTCCTCTTACTACACAAATGGAGAGAGGGCAGAATTAAAATCAATAACCTTAAAAGTGATCTGCAAAGCAAGCTGAAGACCCCCTTGTTGGTGGGTTTGGAAATCATTCTGAACCATCTCTGTGTTCTCATGTATTTGTGTGATAGTGCCCAGTTTTGGTCCCAGGACACCAAGGGTAGTACCCTGACTTCTCCATGTCCCATCCTCACTGCCCTCATTTCCCCACCTGTACAGCAGTGACGGGTCACTTTTTTGTTGTAACATTGCAGGCAAATGATTTTCCATCACCCAAACCGATAGGTTCTGACAATACCTGAATTCCACATTTCACCACGCTGGGAATCCTGATCATCAGGAAAAAAAAAAAAAAAAAAAAAAAAGTTTTGTGGCTCTGCCCACAAGATAACAAACGAGAAATGATCCAGGGAAACTGGACGGCCGAGAGAGGAACGAAGCTGAGGAACGGGGCGCCTCAACCCTCACAGACGGCCCCAACCCCTCAGGTACGGGCTGGGCGGCTGAGGGTGCCGCTGGACACCCCCCCCTCCTCAGGGCGCACCCCCCTGCCCAGGGCACAACCCCCTGCCCAAGGCACACCCCCCTGCCCAGGGCACATCCCCCTACCCAAGGCACACCCCCCTTCCCAGGGCACAACCCCCTACCCTAGGCACATCCCCCTGCTCAGGGCACACCTCCCTGATCCAGGCCCCACCTCTGCACAGCCGGGGCGGGACGTGCCCTCACGGCCCCGCCCGCCGTAACATGGCGGCCCCGCCCGCCGTAACATGGCGGCCGCCCCTGAGGCGCCGCTCCCGCCCGCGCTCCCATTGGCTGGCTCGGAGCACCTGACCCGCGCGGCTGGCGCTGATTGGCCGATGTCGTAAGGGGGCCTGCCAAGATGGCGGCCGAGGAGCCGCCGTTGAGCTGGTGAGCTCGTCCACCCTCCCGACCGACCCGGGCGGGGCCGCGGGACACGGCGGGGACAGTGGGACATGGCGGGGACAGCGGGACACGGCCCAGGGGGAGCGCAGCGGAGCAGCCCCCGCCCCGCCGGGCACCGCCCCAGCGCTGAGGGCGGGCGGGAGGGAGGGAGGGAGGGAGGGAGGGAGGGTGTGTGAGCCTTTCCCTGTGAATCCCTGCCCTGAGGGGCTCCGTGTCCGTTTGTACCCACGGCGAGGGACAGCGAGGGCTTGGAAATCCGGGGCCGGGGCGTTGTTCATGCTTGTAACACGAAAAGCCCCTCAAAGACGGAATTCGGCTCCTTTAACGCAGGAGTGCGATGGGTTTGAATTAGTTTGTGCGTGATGGGTTTGGATTAGTTTGTGAGGTAAGACGTAAATAAATTCTTTCTTATACCTTTCACAATAGCTTAGGAAGGTTGGTGTCCTATAATCCTTCTACACTGGGCTACATTAAAAAAAAAAATCGAAGGTAAGATCAGTGTAGAACACAAACCCAACTCTTTTCTAGAAAAAGAAAAACGACGTATCTTTCTCAAAAGTTCCAGCAAGTTCAACCCAAAGTTTGGTTTTTATTAATGATCATATGAAAGTGTGAAACTCCTATCAGTTTCTGTCACCACATCTAGAATCTATATATTGTATTAGTGAAACTGTTCTTTTGTAGTGTAAAGAATGTATATTTTACTGTTGAAAACCAGAAGGAATTAGTACATCCATAACTTCCACAAAGAGGAAACCTGGAAACACTGTGTAGGTGTCCTCTTTTATTTTATAAATTATTCTGGTTTTGTTTGTTGGGGGCAGGTGTGGCCTTTAATTTTTTTATATTGCAGTGTTGTGTTTTGTTTTGTTCTTTTTGTTTTTTTAAATTAGGGATATTACCCCCAAAAATGGCCAAGAAGTATTTTTCTCACACGAACTTTATGAAAAATATTCCTTGTCTCCGAGCCTGGCTGAACTGTGGCATTTATCAAGAAGGTATATTGTGTTACCTTATCCCCTGGTGCTCTTTGTTATCATCCATGGATAGATGCTCCTACTGTTTTGGGGCAAAGCTGGGTGTTCCCTGGCACACAGGGATTTGTTGCTGGCTCCTCCAGCTTGGTCTGTGCTTGAGCTGCTCTGGAGCCTCTGAGAGCAGGAGGAGTCCAGGTTGGGCCCTCTGGGATTCTGCGTCTCGGAGGGGGTATTTGGGGGGTTTGGGGATAGAGGTTGGGTTATGTTTTGGGGTGGTGCCTGTTGTTTGCTCTCTCTGAATGACCTGTAACTGGTCAGGGTGAGGGGCCTGTGATCCACAAACCAGACCTAGAGCTGTTTAGGGATTCACGTCTTGCTGTCTGTCTGGGTCTTCTCACCTTGTTGAAGGGTGACAGTCCCATACACTGAACTCCTTTTCACTTTTGGAAGGAGGCAGCACTGTTTTCATAAACCCAACTCCTTAGATGCAGTGGAGATGCAGTTAACTCCTTGATTATTGCAGAAACTCTATAGAGCGTTAGCTGAATGCTGGGAAGTGGAGCTGTGTGAACACAGGTGGTACAGGCAGTGTCTGTGCAGGTTTTATGTCCTTTTTTTCCTTAAGGAAGCAGAGTCAGTGTTTGTTCTGCATAGTGAAAGGCCTGTCTCGTACTGCTGGATTGGAGCTTTTGGGGGGCTGTTTTTAGACCAGTGGTTTTCCTCAGAAGTTGTGAAGCTGGTAGGGAGGTGCAGGTGTCTGCTGGGGAGTGAACAGTCACACCACAAAACCACTCCAAGGGGGAGGTTGAGCATGGGGGCAGATAATTTGTGCAAAAGGGTAATTACTGTATTTTTATGAACTGACAATGAGAACGTGCCACTTGAGAGGAAGACCTGCTCTCTCTATCCCACATCTTTAACCAGAGAAGGCAAGAGATGAGCACAGCCCTCTCAGCTTGCTGCTGGCACACCTGACACTGCTGTAGGACTCTGGGGGGTTTCTGGAGCAGACACTCAGCAGTGGGATTGTGGTCAGCCGTGGCATTCTGGTCAGCCGTGGCATTCTGGTCAGCCGTGGCATTCTGGTCAGCAGTGGCATTGTGGTCAGCTGTGGGTGGTTCGGGTGGGTTCACAGCCAGGAGAGGCCAGACAGGCTGCACCTGGGAAAGATCAGGAACTGGTGGAACTGGGCTGTGTGGCCATCAGGGGCAGGGAAGTTAAACCTCTTGGAGCAAACATGGAAGGAAAAGCTTGAGGAAATCTGCCAGTTTTTCTGTTGGGGTTTCTGATGGAGGTTTGCTGCAGCCTTGGTGCAGAAGCTGGGAAGGCAGGGTGCTGCTGAAATGGAGGGGGGAAGTTAAGCCGTCAGCTCCAGTGGAGGATAATGCTGTAAATATGGGCAGAGAAGCTCTGTCAGATTATTTTGGTTTGCACCCCGGTGAAGCCTGTGACAGCACTGCATACTGAAATGATCTTGATGTGCTGCCATTCCGTTCAGTGCTGAATACAGCCAATTTGAGCTGCTAGAATCTCTTGATGTTCCTCCATTGGCATATCTGAGTCAGCATCTTGTCGCTGCTCCAGCTTAATTAAATTTGCCAGTTTGTGCCACGGGGATGGACACATCCCTGTATCCAGAGAGACAGCTGTGAAGTGTTATTAAGAGCTGTGGATGTGATACTGCTGGGTTTGAATGACACTAGAGATGTTTCCTACTGCTGAAATGCTGTCTTAAAAATATGCTTTTTCCAAGATCAGCAGTTAATGTTCATTTTGTCTGCCTTAAGTATTTTCTCTCTTAAGAACAATTATTTTAAATAGAGCAGGGCTCAGCTGGTCGGCCTTCGTGCACTGGAGTTGTTTTAGGAACCAGCTTTGTTGTTGTTAGGGCAGCTGTGCCCCTTGCCCTGGCCTGATGGTATTTGTGGTGGCTCTGTCCAGTGTTGTTTAGAGTAGAAAATTAAACTCTTGTGTGCTCTGTGAGAATTTCTTCATTGAAATCTAGAATTTCTGGTGTTACAATGAAGTAATTTAAATTTTCTTCCTTTAAAATTAAATACTTAACTAGAAAAAGCCTTTCTCCCTTACTATCATAACTGACTTTTAAGTTTTAACCTTTCTGAGTGCAAACTGAACACCAGCCATCAGTGAGTGATGAAATGTGGAGATTCTTTATCTTTTCATTAGTGATGGGTGTTTCCAGAGCAAGGAATCCATTTCACATTTAGCTTCTTACCTCAATATTTAGTATACAGACTAATATATTTTGTTTGATGAGAAAAAAACCCACTACTTTTTTCCCCCCTGTTTTTAAACAAGTGGGTAAACCTTCTGCTGGTACTGAGGGCGAGTCTGATTGTCCAGGTGGAGTTTCAGAATGAGAAAAGTCCTCTGGCACAGACCAGGGATGGGAACAGCACAGACCAGGGATGGGAACAGCACAGACCAGGGATGGGAACAGCACAGGATCCCTCAGAGCATTTTGCTGGATTTGAAGTTTAGGCTTGTATGACTGCCTCTATTTGTTAATTCTGACAAATATTAGTATTTATGTGAAAAGTGCAGGTTGTTTGTCACTTCTCTTTCAGAGAGGCCAAGAAGAAGGTAGAAGCCCTGGGAAACTCCTCGGAAAACAGGCAGCCCTGTGACAGGCAGGCTGCAGAGCCAGCTGGGGCAGAGGCCAAAAGCACGAGTGAGGAGCATCCTTTTCCAGAGCCCAGGGTCCCCTATCCATTCACCTCTTGCCTGTCTGAGAAGGAGCAGAAAACGTACTTGTATCTCATGACTAAGTACTCCAAAAAACCGAACCATTTCCAAGTGACTGCAGCGAGTCAAAGGGAGCTGTTCACGTATCTGGTGAGTGCACAGCTGCGGACACAGCCACGTCACAAAGGGAGTCATACCGCTTTTTTGTTACAAAGAAGAAAGGGGAAGGTGGGCACACTGGTTTTTGAGTTCAGTTTGTCGTGATCCCTTTGTCCTGGAATTGGTGTGCTGCCTCATGAGTGCTCACAGGAGCAGAGGGGCTCGAGTGCAGCTGAGCCTGTCATTAAATGGCTGTGGCCTTGTTGGGGGGAAGTATCACTGGAGCTGAATCCTGTAAAATGTAATCAACAGCAAATGGTTTTGAGCCTTTCCATTTGGTTTCCCGTGCTTCCTTTTTAATGCTAACTCCTTTCTTTTGTGCTGTAACAGCAGGAATGTCATTCCCAGGCACATGAGTATCTGTTGTTGCTACTTCTGGTACGATTTCTGGCCAAGTCAGAGACAGGCACTTTGTGGCTTTGTCATGTAAACGTCATCAACAATGTCTTGCAGCCTTTGTTTTTATAAAGACTGTCAAAAGAGGTTTGCTGTTTGTTGAGGGGTGGTGTTTTGTTGGTTTGGGATTTTTTATTTTTTTTTTAAGGAAATAGGCCTCAAGGAATTTTTTTTCCCTGAAGTAAATCTCTGAGCATTTGCCAAATGGAGCAGCAAGTGGAATCTGTGCCCTCCCTCCCACCATTCATTACCTGTACTGCCTCTCTGGAAATGTTGCTGGTTACATACCTAGCATAGAGGATTCTGTTCTGCCTTAAAAGTAGATTTTTCCTTTCCCCAGCAAATGAAAGAAGTGGTGAACAATGAAATAGCAGAATTTATGAAGTTTGCCCAGAACGCTGCAAGAAGCTGTGCCCAGGATTATGAGGCCATCTCTGAGGATGCCCTGCGCTACACTGAGGTCAGTGCCAGCTGCCAGTCCGTCCTTTCTGGGGTAAGAACATGCACAGGCACTGCCCGTGGGATGTGCTGTCTCTGAACCGTGCTGGTTCCGTGTTGGGATGAGACACAGGTCGGCATTTCCCCTGTGCTGTGCCCCAGGGCTGGGCCTGGGGTCCACTGTAGGCAGGCTGGTGTGGTACAAGTGAAGTCCCTGAGTGCAGGATGTGTAAACACTTACTCCTCAGTGAAATGAAGTGCATCTCTGTATTTGGGAACAGAGAAGTTGCATTTTGGGTGTGCATTTACAGTAAGAAGTTGCTCCTAGAGATACACCACTGGACAGAATGTTACATTTTCCTCAGCAGTAGCATGTTACTGAGGCTCTTTAATTAGAGCTGACTCAGGCTTTAATCATAACCACCTGCACGTTCATGCTGTGTTAATTATCCACTGTGATGATTCTAAGATCAAACAGGAATGCAACTTCATGTATCATTCTTGGGTTTTGGAAAAGGAATTCCAGAATACAGGTGTGTTGAACTTTCCCATCAATGGGTTAACGCAGAGTTTGGGCACGTGTGAAGGCAAAAATCTTGCTTGCATTTTTTCCCTTTTCCCTAAAAATTGGGATTGGTTTTGCAATTTTATATCTTGTGTCTGTTTTTCAAAGTGATCTTGTCATCTGGTCCCAACATGTGTCTCCAGACCTGAAATCCTGTTTATTGTAAGGTTGATACCCGGAGTTAAAAATGAAATAGGGGCACATATTTAGTTTTAAACAATACTTGTAAAAATAATTCAGTCTGGTTACTGAATAAAAGTGAAATGTCTTAAGTGCATAATTCAGATATAAAAATTACCTGGAGTTGACATGATAGGAAGTTTCAACACCAGTGGAATCATCTTGCCTTTACCTTTGTGATTTTTACCTAGGCCTGTGTAAACTGGGTGGTAACACAGAAAAATACTAATTCCTCTAAAAGATAACGAACTAAAGAAAGCAATTACTTGATTTAGCACAGTTTTAACTGGACTAAACTGTATTTTTTAGTGATTGCTCGGTTTTGGTTTTTGCCTTAGGAACTGCTCCGTGCCTGTATTGGACATGTGCAGAAGCATCCCGAGTTTTACACTCTCCAGGAGACCACGAGTATCATGGGGGGGAAGTTCCACACACAGCTGACCTTCAGGCTGGAAAAGAATCTGCTTGCAATGGTAATATCTGTTGGGTTTGTGTTGGGTTCTTTTTTTTCAAATAAGCAGAATTACCTCAGGATGGTGTTCCACAAGGATTTGGGATTTTTGCAGCTTATATACAGTGCTTGTTAGGGGTTATAAATGATAATTAGAATTATTAATTGAAATGTTAATAAAATTATTTTGGTAGTAAAGCTGTTCACTGAGCGTTTGCCATAGAAAGATGGCGGTAACAGTATATTTTTCATATAACACGACTTTCTAGTGCAGCTGCATAGATTATTGGTGTTTTTCCTCACAAGAAGTGCAATGTTGGGTCAGCAAGATGCTGTTAAAGCTGTTTCCTGACTCTGCTTCGTTTCTCCAAGGGTACAGCACGACGTGGTAAAACAGATTTCCCTGCCATGCCCGTTCAGCTGCCCACAGACTATGGAACTGTTACATCTATCATAACTCCAGAGAAGAAGGCTCAGCTTATGCACAGTGTGAGTAACTTCCCATTGTCAGTCTGAAGGCACGTTTTGTATGTTTGCACTGGGAAGATCAGCGAGGCTTGCATTCTGTAGAACTGGGTTTTTTGGGCTGTTTCTTCCAGATAATTTATCAGCTAATTTAAGGGGTTTGTTCACACATCAACCCCCAAACTCTGAACAGAAGTGTGATTTCAGAGACACTTGTGCTGAGGGAAGGAGCAGAGGGGATGCAGGGGAAGAGGCTCTGCCCCAAGAGATGCTGTAGCTGCAAACAGCGTGTGGTGATGGCTCAGGTGGCAGAAAACACCAGCACAGCTGGATTCTGCTTCCTTCTCTCAGTGCTCAGTGCTCCTGGGCTTCCATTACCTCAGTCCTTCTCATGGGAATGTGTCCTCACAGTGTTGAACAGTGTTATCATTTCAGGTCTGAATTTGTATTCTTCATGGGTTTACATCTGTTTTGAGGTTCTTTATATGGGATTGGTACTGAAACAACTGGGCAGTTCTAACCATACTTTATTATTGCACATCTTTCTTTACTGTGCTATCACTTAACTCAGAAGAAGACATGTAATACATATTTGTGAGTTAATCTTCAGTGCGCTCCTGTATTTCATGACCATCTTAATTCCTGTTCAGCTCAGTAATTCAGATTTATAGGAATGAACTGAAAGTGCAAGTTCAGAAGATATTATTTTCTCATGCTGCAATGTTGATTGCATAAGATTCAGCCAGAAACCCTCAGGGGAGTTTTCTTCTTTTTCACTTCACTCTGAGGCACTGTGGTGGTGTTTGGACTTTTGTGGGGGGATGTTGATCCCTGTTTGTTTGGGTTGGGAGTTCTTCTCGTAAATTGAAATCTGTGTATATTTCTTTAAAAAAAAAAAACACTTTAAAACAAATAATTTTTTTTCCTTTTCTGTTTAGGATGTTAGTTCAGATCCAAATGCAGAAAAACTGGCTTTGAAATACTGTCCTCAAGTTGTTTTAAGTAATCAGTCATTATTTACTTTACTGAATAATCATGGGCTAAACTACAAGGAGCAGTGGGAAATTCCAGTTTGTGTTAAAATGGTCGCTGTTGCAGGTATGGGATGTTTTTGTTATGAAAGTTTGGTGTTTTGTCCAAAAAAGCTGTAAAGCTGATCAGGTGTCACTTGTTACAGTTGTCTGCACCTCGTTGCTGGGAATAGTCCCAACCTCCACAGTTACCCCATAAACATTGAATTTGGACACACAGCTGTTTTCCACTTGGGCAAAAAGCAAAGCCAACCAAAAAACCAGTTAAATATCCTTTTGCTTTTCAAAACTGGGAGTTGTGGGCCTTGGAAAGAAACCAACTGCACAAAGCTGTTAAAATTACCCAGTGAACTGATTTCAGTAAGCTCAAAAAGAAAGAGCCATTCTGAAAAAGGAAAGAGCAAACATTTTCTGGAATTAAAAGTATCTATTTACATTATAGAATAGTAAAAAAGTAATGGACATCCATGGAGATCCTTTTCCCAATTGCAACAAAAATAGTTTTAATCAACTGATGAATTCATCTGAATGCTTTACTGCGGTTGTCAAGCCCTCCTTCAGTAATCTGAATATAGATAACCTTTTTTTTTTTTAAATCCACTGGGGTTTATTCATTATGAGTATTTAGAAGGTTTGTTGTCTCGGAATGTCCTTGTGTGCATCTCACAGAGATTTCTAAAGCAGATTTGAAGATGGTAAATAAGCTATCAACTGTCTGCAAATTATACAATTTTGTGCTTTCCTACATCAAATGAAGTTACTTTATCAGTAAAGATATGCCTGACTCCTTTTGTTATCAGCATTACAGTTTTTAAACTTAATTTTGGATCCCAGGTTAACACCTAAAGGGCCTTCAGAATGTGATTCTTGAAGGGTTTCTCTGCCCCTTCCTTTTCCACCTTTCCCTGTGCCCAACCCCTTGCAATAATTTATTTCTGTGTTCCCCACGTGCCTTTGCTCTCTGTGTGATGTGGGCAGGGCATCACTTTGGTTTTTCCTTTTTTATTTCATTGTTATTCCTGTGGAGGTGTGTTGGGGTGTGAACAAGGCACAGCTTCACTGCTGGGCAGCGACACTTCACAAACAAAAACTGACTTTCATCCAAGGGGAAAAAAAGACCTTCTTGGAAAACAGTACATTGGATGATAAAATGCAGTAGAAGAAGCGATGAATCCTAAATTCTTGTTTTACAAATTGCCTGTTGAGAAGTGCATTTGAACTGCTCTCAGCTGGTAATGTGGGTTGTGTTGCTGCTGCACTCCATCATCACTCACACTGTGCCTGCACTTGTATTTTCTGTTCTTGGTGAGTGAGGGGATCGTTTTTCATTTCTTCTTCCGTGAATGTGGAATGGATTTGACCACAATTGAAAGTTGAAGGATTTATTAATTGCGTTATACAACAGTCTTTCTTCCTTTCCTTTAGTAAGTACTCAATCTCTTTTTGTTCTTGAAAAGGTAGCAAACCAGCTAAAGTGGTTTATGTTGATTCACCCCTGCTGAGAAAAGAAATGACAATAAGAGAGAAGAATCAAATCTTCCACGAAATTCCAATGGATTTCCTAGCAACTAAAACATCCTACGTTTCAATTTCTGATGTGTGGATGGACAAACCAGCTGAGGACAATCTGTTCCAGTGGGATGTATGTAGGTTCACCTACTCTTAAAACCAAAAACTTGTGTTGTATTTCCTAAGTTCCTTTTTTTCTTTTTCTGATAGTGAAGGAAAATGTTTAGTTTTTCTGTTGATAGTTTTCCTACTGCTGAGTTATGGACCCTGTTGTAAAGTGTCTGTCTAGTTCCTTTAAATGCTTCTACTCCTTGGGCATCTCAGTTTTCCTGCTGACTTCATTAAAACATCTTTTGATCAGTTCTCTGAACTTTATTTCTCTCTGGAAAGGCCTTCAACTCTTAGGACTCAAGGTATTCCATGTTAAACAGGAACACTTTTTCAATTACTGCCCCTCTTTCCCAGCAGTCAAAATGTGGATAGTAGAACACTTTTCCTCTTTTCACCTTGACCATGTCTTGTTTGTGATTAACACATTGTGTTTCTTGGTTTGTTTTATTGGTTGGGTTTTTTTTAATATTATTCCTTTTTCATCCCTGTGTTAAGGTGTCCTCTGATAGCTACCAGTGCAGGAAGATTCCCCTTCCAGATGACACAGGGATGGACTTTGACGATGATGTTACAGAACTGGAAACTTTTGGAGCATCTGCCAAGCTCTCAAGAAGTTCTAAAGTGGAAAGTACTGTTCCTGCAGTTAATAACACTGCTAAAGTTTTATCTCACAGCCTGAAAACGGGGGGAAACAATTCATCCACCCTGAACAGTGGAGATGAAGAGGGGAACCCCCCCCTTTCTGAGCAGGAGGTTTCAGCACGTGCCACTCTGCAGCTTCCATCATCAGATGGCATTCCAGGCTGCAGCCCTGGAGAGGATCCCCCTGCTGGGTCAGTGCAGACGGGGCCGAGCACAGCTCAGAGTGCTGGCACCAGGGAAGAGCTGGGCAGTGGAACCCCCGCCGAGGCTGTATGTGATGCAGTGAGTGACAGGGAGGGGGCTGGTGCTGCCCAGAGCCACGAGAGCCAGCCTGCCCTGTGCGGCAGCGACACGGACGAGGAGCGCTTGGTCATCGATGCAGAGGGTGCCAACACCCCCCGCTGCCAAACAGCTGCCCCAGCCCCTGAGTGTGATCCCTCAGCACAGCCTGCAGGGTGTCCTTCTCCCACCCCCATCCCTGCAGCAGCCACGGCTGACGGCTCGGATCCCACGGAGCAGGGAAGCAAAGCCTCCAGGAAACCCCCCAGGAGGTTATCCAAAGAGCTGGATCCCGTGGGGCAGATCCTCAAAATGCAGACGGAGCTGCTCAAGTCGCCTTCCCAAAAAGCTGCCGAGCCAGTGGGGAGCTGGGACAGTCCTAATGCTGGGCCAGCCCAGGGGCCTCCGTCCCCAAAACCACTGATGAGCTCCAGCACAGAGAGCGGGCCTGCCCCTGCCTCCAACGCCAGCAGGAACACCTGGACCTGGCTCTTCGAGGGAGTGCCAAAGAGTAAGTTGAGGGTGTTCACTCTGCAAGGAGGAGAGTGTCCAATTTTGGATCAAATTTAACAGGAAAACCTTTGAATTCCTTCATCTGAAGAATGTGGTAATAGAGCACCTGTTACACTTATTTGGAGGTGTGTCTTTAATTCTCCCACGGGGAATGTGCTCTTAACTCCTCTCTTGCACTCCTGAGGGAACATTTTGGGAGCTGTTTGTCCACAGAGCTGAATGTGCAATACTGTTTTACTGTAGGGAAACAAAAAGCTGTTATACTCAAGGTTTTTAAGCAAGGAAGAGAAATAATTTGGTAGTGAAATGAGTAGTTTTTGCACTGAAATTCAAATATTTGAGTAGTCTGGTCTGCAGAAGTAGATTCTTGTCAGTCAGAAGTGGAACTATTTGACTTTTTCTGTACAATAGAAAGATAATCAAATTATGCATCTGATAATGTAGAAATTAATTACTTGATTACTTAATCTCTAGTTCAACACAACTAATTCAGTTGAAATTGTGTCACCACTTGCTGAATTTCAGTAGTCACTGCAAGACCATCTCTCCTCCCTCAGTCTGAAGGGCCAAGCAGCATCTTCCTGTTTCTCTGTCTCTTAAAAAGACAAGAGTCTGCAATTCAGGTATTTGACAATGGAAATATTGGTGTCCAGTTTGAAACCTCTCGGCATGTCTGTCTGGCACAAAGCCAGAGTTAAGTTATGCATTTGACTGACAGCAAATCACCTCCAGCCCCTTCCGTGGCATCTCCCACGCTTCAGAACATATTCAAAGATGCACAGGAGCTCTGAGTTTGATGTTAAATGTGTTTGTGGCAAAACCCATTTACAGGTGTCATTTTGACATGTGTTTCCACATTTCTACAAGAAAACAAAAGAACTGGATACACTGTCAGTAAATAGTCCTTAACAGGTTGGAGTCTGTTCTGTTTATTTGAAATGTTTTGTTAAAATATCTCTCTCTATGTATAAAATACCACTCTTTGATAAAGGGAACATTTTCCAAGTGTAATTACTTTTAAACTTTTTTTTTATACGTGGCTTTTTTGTGCCTAATGAAATAGTTTTCACCTGAAAAATCTTAGGAAGCAAACCAAATTTTAGGAAAAAAAAAACCAACCAAAAAAAAAAGAAAAAACATGCTGCAAGGGAAAAAAGCTGAAAAGTGTACAAGCCTGTGAGTCTGTGTATTTTTTGTTCCCTGCAGGAAAGCTGCCCAGCGAGCTGCAGCTGCTGGAGGAAGCCCCCTCAGAGTACACAGCCCCTCGGGAGGGCAACGTGGTGTACAAGCTGTTCAGCCTGGGCGAGCTGCTGCTCCTGCTGCGCTGCAGCATCCACAAAGTGAGGGCTCTGCCACGCTACCAGAGGAAGAAAAAACCCCAGAAGGTGCTTTGAGCTTTTGATGGCTTGGGTTTGATTAACAGCTGTGCCCAGCTGGCATCTCTGGGATTCCCTTTCAGCGTTTGTGCTTTCACTCAGACAGTCTGTACATTTAATTGTAACTCTGCAGCTCTTTAAGTCGGTATTTGCTGCAGGAAGAGAAGGAAGAATAACTTGTGGTTACTTGAAAGCTGCTTGATCAGAAGATCAGCAGGTGTGAATCTCTGTTGTTTACTGCAGCAGAATGCAGGGCTGATGGAAACTCCCCTCAGTTTGACCTGTTCCTAAAAGTTTAATGCAGTGATGGGGCTTTGACCCAAAGGTTTGAGAATGCCCATGATCTTAAAGATTTCCAAGCAGGATTCAGCCTTGCTGTTGTGCCTAATTCAGCAGAGAAGCAGGAGATAAAATGAACAACCCAGGACACAAAGATAAAAAGAGATCCTCTTCATTCTGCTTGAGAATACTGTGGGGTCCATTGTCTTAGCAAATGGTTTCTCTTTTGAAATGAAGTGGTTTAAATGCAATTCTAATAGAAATGTAACATCAGGGGAAGGGGGGCTTGTTCTGTGATGCTCAGTCACTTGTTTTGTGCAGCACGTTGGATGGGCCCTGTCCCTCCTGAGGGGACACAATTCCAGCAGGCAGGATGTGACCCTTTTGCTTTGCTGGAGAGGAAAAGGATCCTTGGAGCTCTGACTCCTTCCCAAGATTCTGTGCTCAGGAGGTTACTTTGAAGAAATGCCATGCCTTTGCTGGGGATCCCCTGCCCAGAAATGCCTGTGAATAGCAGCTTGGTGTGTTACTTGCAAACTGAGCACTTGTGTTTTTTGTAGTTTCTGCTGCAATCCAAGCTGTGGTTTGTCAGTGAGAAGAGGTTTGTTTGCTCTGTCAGTGTTAACACACAAAGGTTTGCCTCTGATTTCAAGTGAGGCTCCAAGCATCAGGTTCTGATTTCAGGTGAGATTCTGACAGGAGCAATAAAGGGCAGGTTCCACCAATAATAAGTAATCAGACATACAAGATATTTTTCCTTGAATTGCTGCAGAGGGCAGTAGAGCACAGAAGTGTGAACTTCAAATGAATTTAGCTGCATGGAAAGATGAGTCAGGGTTGGAATTTGATCATTTATAAAAGCTTGCCTGGGCCTTTCTCACTGCTCTTTTTTTGGCTTTGTGCCTGTCACCCTCCTCTGTTTAATCCAGAGGCTCTGTATCAAACCCCAGGGTCTGCACTGTGGGGTTTGCAGAATGGGAGCCATCAAACCATGTCTGTGTTGCTCCAGCTATGGTGGGGGACTGTGGGCATTATAAACTACAAAATGGGGTTAAATTGTGGACATTTCTGGACAGCAAGTGCTGATTTTTCTCTTATTCCCTCTTTTACAGCTTACTCCCATATTCCTGCTGCCAAAACTGGAATACCAGGCCTATTACGGGGTGGAAGCTCTGACAGAAAGCGAAGTGTGTCAGCTGTGGACAGAGAGTTTGCTGCATTCTCAGTGTTTATTTTATATTGGTAAGTTCAGGTGTTGATTTTTTCCCCAAGAAATGTGAATGTGTAGAATAACAGAGGAGATACATACTTATTAAAGGTCTAGTCCATATGTCCTTGTTTATTTTATTCCTGTTTTGTTTTCCACTTTCAAGTATGTGTTTTGTCTTAAAATTTGAGTTGGGTGGTGAATGAGGATATTCCAACTTTGGGTTTAGATAAATAGTATCCATTAATGTTCGGTTTGCTTCTTTTAAGGACAGATGTATCTGTAGTGTGGATTCAGTTCTGTGAAGTTAGAAATCTTCCTGACTTGATGTATCTGTGGGTTTTGGGGGGAGTTTTTAGCTCTTGGGTTTTTAAATGACTCATAGGCACCATGAATTACCACAGGATTGGTAAAATACTTCTTGATGGAATGTGAGCTGTAAATTTATCTTATCACTCGGTGAAAGCATTGTAAATAAATGAGTTATTGTGTACCAAAAGAGAAGAGGAACAGAGGAGCAGGTCTGTGGCTCAGAGGATGCTGATTCTTTGGCCTTTCAGCTTGCAGTGTGGGAGAGGCCAAATGTTATTTATTTATCATTGAAAACAGGAAATAATGCTGCTGTTTCTAAGATGTGGACAGGTAAGATACAATGAGGAAAACCAAGCAAGAGAGTAAACCAGGTTCTGCCACTGAGAAACAAGAGAAATTGCACTGCTTGAAAACAGTTCACAGGTGGCATGAGCCAGGCCCTTCAGGAGGCAAGTTTCACTAACAAATGTCCCACAGAAAATGCTGGGTTCCTGTTTGTGCAGTGGCATTTGGACATCAGGGAAGGGTTTATGTCTGTTAGGATGTATGTTCTGTGGAGCAATTAAAAATGCAAAATGCCTGCAAAGAACATGGCCAGATTGCTTTAACAGCCCTTTCAATACACAGAGAGCTTTCTGATACCCATTATCCTGCAATTAGAAAGGTTTTAAAGGGGAAAGTGTGCAACTTGGTGGTTGATATTTAGAATATGCTTGGCATGTGCTGTGAGTGCTGTTTGTCCAGTGAGTGTTGGCATTCCTGTAGGAAAAGCCTGGTTTGTGGGGTTGTTATGGCAGCAGGGGTGGCCTGGGCTCGCCTAACCTTTCCACTTGTGCACTGTATCACACTGCTGCTGGGGCTGACTCACACCACAGGGCTATTTTAGAAATGCTAACTGCAGCTTTGCAATTTCTACATACAAGGGTTGTATCCCACCAAGGAATTATAGGGGATGTGTGAAATCCCATGTATTTTTGAGGTAGTTCTGCTGATCCCGTGGTTGTCTGCTCTCTGTATTTAATGGAAATGATGTTTCTAATTTAAACTTGAAAAGCAATATTTACTGTGGTTTTTCCCTTCCTTTAAAAAAAAAATACCAAACCCCCACAAAGAGCTAATGATGTCCACAGTTCTCCATTTCTAACTGCATCTCACCCTGCAATAGAGGAGCATTTCTTCTCGTTTTCTTTAAAAGCAGCCCAGCAGATGGAATTGCACTGCAATTTGGCTGCCTGGAGAAAATTTTATCAAGGTTTTTATAACATTTCCGGAGTCGGAGGCAGAGGAAGTGCAGGGAGAGAGTGATGTGTTTGCTGAGCACACAGAGTGTGTGTAATCTGTCTAATCTGCCATCAGTACAGGGTACCTGAGGCAGGGCTGGGCAGGAGCTGCAGACAGCTCAGGAACAGCCCTTGGAACAGCCACTCCTGCAGGGTGGGACTGGACAGGCTGGGAACTCCTGGGAGTGCAGGAGGAATTGGAAAAATGCAATGCTGCAAGTGTCCACATTTACTCAGAGGGCTCTTTGCATTAGAAAGCTTTGTCCTGAAACTCCAGGGACAATTCTCCAAGGGTGATAATATCCTGGAATTGTGGGCAGCTTCAGATGGGGTGAATACCTCGTTCTCTGATGACTATCTGATTAATCTGATACCTGAAAGGAAGACTACTGCAGTTGTGCGTTTGGTGTAAGCAGAAAGGCAGACTTGACCTTTGAGACCATGCTATAATTTGAATTATTTTAAGTGGAATATTGTGGTTTATAATAAAGGAATTTTAAGCCATAGACTTACCCCACGGTGTGAGTGTGGAAGGGTGGAACAGCTTAGAAGTTCTTTCATCTTGAAAAGGCTTAATTCACTGTCTGAACTATCTTTGTATTGTCAAATTAGTGTGGATGGAAAGTTCTTTGGACCTTGGTCTGTGCCCCACAATTGTTGCTCAGTGTTGGAGGGAGGGATGTCACTCAGCCTGGTGACTCAGCAGTGCTGCCAGCCCAGGAGATGCCACCAGTGTCCCCAGGGCCTCCTGCTGGAGCTGCAAGGCTGAGGGGAAGCTGAATGTTTTATTTTCTGGTTTCTATCATCAAACAAGCCTGGAGCTCTGTCTTCCTCTTGCTCTTAGAGCACCTTGCCTGGCTGTTGGCTGAAGTGCCCCTCTGCTCAGGTAGCAAATGCTGCCTCTGCCAAGGGACTGATCTCTCTGACAGGTTTCCCAAATAAGGCACTTGTACTTTATCTGAGCAGTAAATAAAGTTGAGATAAGCTTTGCTGATCAATGGGAGCGTTTTCCCCTGGCCATTATTCACTTGTTTGCATTAAGTCCCTAAGAAAAGCCTTCTGCAAGAACAGTTTACTTTCACTTGAGTTCACTGTAAATTAAGATTATTTTAAAAATGGCTTGGAAAAAACCCTTTATGTTACTGTTTGGGTACTTACTGAATGTCAAGTGTTTCCAATCAGTCACTTCTCAAACATAAGGTACAGTTATATAATTTAGGTGGGAGTAGTTTATAGATTTTTTTTTTAATTATTTTTCCCCATTATGTTGTCAATGAGTTTGGAAATAGAGAAGTCTGTGATTTGAGGAGAGGCTGATGATGACAATACAGAATGAGTTCTGAATACAGTACTCACATTATTTTTTTAATTGTTTTTTAATGATGACTGCAAGTCCCTTTTCCTCTAATGAGCAATGCAGAACAGTAAATCTGGCTGCTTAGTCTTGCACAAAATATGGATCAAGGAAGGGTAAGGGGCAGCCTGGGCTGGGAAAATGGGAGGAGAGGAGCTTGGAGTTGTTGCTCCTCACCCTGTCAAGACAAACAGCCTTTGACCATTTTCCAGGAGCAAGGTAAGTTGGGATTTTTCAGGTGAGGGGGGGAAAAAGCAAGATAGAAAAAGTCAGAATCCCCAGAAAAATCAAATAGCACAATTGTTCAGGTAATGTATCGGAATAGAAAAACAAGTGTATTAAACTCAGAAGTAAATCTGTTGTAAAAATCAGCTTTGATGATCTGTCCAGTGAGGAATCCCAGTGACAAAGGTGAGGTGAACTTGGGCAGATATGAATTAACTGATGAGGGGAAGGCCACGGCAGAATAAGCTTGTGTATCCCCACATCACCCAAATGTAAGATTTCCTTTGTCCCCCAAAGGTTCCCAAAGACAGTCCAGCTATGGATGTCTGTACTTCAAGCAGCTCTACATTTTACTGTTGTTGTGCAACATTGATAAATACCTTTCACTGTTCTATGCTTTAAGAGAGTACATCTTTTTATTCTTTTAAAAATGCATTAGATCTGCAAATTATGCTTTTACATTTGTTCATTTTTGTTTTAATTGAGTTTGTTTTTTCAGGACATATTGATGCTTTCACATCAAAGCTTATTATGCTAGAAAAGGTTTCTCCAGAAGCTTTAAGAGAAAAACTCGGATTGATCAAGTGAGTATTTTTAATAATTTTTTTTTAGCAATGAATTGGAAACCCTAACAAGCCTTGCAAGCTACCACTTTTGGTATTTTTTTTTGCTTTCACAGGCCTGCAAATTCATTAAATATACTCCATCACATTTTGAAGAAAGTGTCTGAGTAAGTGCTCAACTCTTGTTAATTGTGTTTATACCTTCCTGAAAACCTGTTTGCCCCTGTGTGATTGAAAGCACGTCTGTGCTTTGTGTCCACAGCTGTATTTATACGTATTTATAAGCAGTGTAATTTTATAATTTATATGTATTTCTAATTTATATATAATATAAATTATATATATTATATATATAATATTTCTGTAATTCATATTTATTTATAACCAGTGTAAGACACTGGTTGAGGGACTGGAGTTTGCCCAACATGGACGGTTTTCAGTTGCATGTTTAGTTGAATATGATGACAAGCTGTACATTGTTGATAAATTAGTACATTAAGGATACATTATAAGCACAGTAATTAGTATGTATTTATCAGTATGGTTTAATTAATGCTTTCTTGTCCACAGTCTTTTTGTAAAACAGGGACTGATAAATAAATATCTCAAGATGTTTTGCTTTTGCATTAAGAACATAATAGCTATTCTGATCAACTAAAAATCAAAAAACCCACTTAAATACTGGTTTTCATTTTGAACTTTTCTCTTTGTAGTCTGCAGGAGGGCTCTTATTTATTGTCTCATGCTGCAGGAGATTCCTCAGTTTCAATTTACAAGAGCTGCCTCGACAAGGGCACGAGATCCTCCTACAACTTACACAAGGCTCACTGTGAGCTGCCTGCGGTCCCTGCCACTCTGTCGGTGCCCTGGGTGCCCCTGGATCCCAGCCTGCCTCTGCCCTACCACATCAGCCATGGCAGGGTCCCCTGCACCTTCCCCCCTGCCCCCCAGGAGGGCTGGAAGCACAAGGTCAGTCTCCCATTGCTGGAAAAGCAGAGCAGCAGCTTTGGGAATGCCCCAAAGCCCCCACTCCAGTCTGTTTGAACAGGCAGCAATGACACCTTAGAAATAAGAAATTTTCAAGCCCAGTTTCTCTTCAGCAGAGGTTGGCTCTGTGTGTAAAGCCCTGTGCTGGCTGTGCCTGGCTCAGCGGGCTGGGGGATGGTTCTTGGGGCAGGTTTAGCCACACCCTGTGACCCCACATGAGGGCAAACCAGAGTTGTGCATCTGTTCCTGGGCACCTCGGGCACGTCGGGTTCTGCCGGAGGAAAGCCAGGCATGGGGGAGAGGCAGGACTGGGGAGATGTGACAGGACAGCAGCTGTGCCTGTCCTCCAGCCTGCCCTCCAACAGTGTCACTGGGTGTGTTTGTGCTTGCTGCACATTTCAGATGATGAATTCTGGTTCGGTGTCCTGAGCTGCTCTGTGTTTGGATTCTCTCCCCGTGTGTGTGTAGATGGCTGGGGCAAAAGGACAGTCGGACACACCCTGTGAGGGACAGCCAGGAGCTGTGGAGACAAAAGGCAAGCCAGCTAAGCCTGTGAGAAATGAAGGTGTGGCTCCAAAGAAGCTGAGGAAGAATTTCTGCAAGCAAAGGAAAATGAAGAAGAGATGGAACACTAAGTACAACAAAATGCAACCCAAGTAGGGACGGGCCTGGAGAAGAACAAGAGGCAACAATAAATCTGGAGCTTTCTTGCAGCTTCAGAGGAGGCAGAACGAGCTGGCAGGGAAATGGTTCCATAGCTGGAGCATTCCCTAAACCTTGAAGCCCTTCGTCCCTCAGTGGAAGTGTGTCAAGGGAAAATCCCAAATTCAGTCAGAGAAAAAAGCAAGTGGTGCAGCCCCTTGGCTGCTGACAGGGGAAAAGTGTCTGCTGCTGCTCTGGGGTTTCTGCAGAGCTCCCTCATGAAGAATGAAGCAGTGGGTGACAATGCTCTGATTCCACAGAACCACCAGAAATGTAACTTGGCAGTGTCCTGAATTCTTCCAGAATCGCTACAGGTTTTTATTCTGACACGTTTTAAAGCTACATTTTATTTTGTATATTTTGCATAAGGAGAGCAACTTCAGGATCATTACTGAGCCTTTTTGGCACATGGTGTCTCCCAGCTCTTAAATAACTTAAATAATGTTTTTTTTTCTCTTTAGGTTGGTGTAACAAATGGGGTTTGGGGAACAAAAGCTGTGTGTATTTGAATAGCACGTGCCGTAAATTGCACTAGGAAACACACAGCTAAAGCATTACATTTTGCACAGCTCAACTAATAAAATACATTTTATGCTTCCCCACAGCAATTTCCAAAAATTGTTTGGATTCTGGCGTGTCCTCAGAAGTGACTTTTGCACTTACTGATTGTGTTTCTGGCTGGCCACAGCCTGAGTCTCCTGCCAGGTCCCTTTGAGGGGCAGTGGTGCTTAGCTGAGGTGTTGGTGGTTGCCTGGGGGAACAAGGGATGGGATCTTAGTCATGTTCCAGAAACCCTTCAGACTGTGCTGTGCCCCAGCAGTTGGAGGGACGCTGGAGCCACTTCCTTACTGTCCAGGAAGAGGCCGAGCAGTGTGATGTGCTTTCCTGGAGCTTGGGAGTCGCGTGGAAAATCCAGGTTGTTTGGAATGTTGGTGTTCCCTGATGTGCTTGTAAGGGGGTTGCTGGGGAGGGAAGGTTTCCCTGCATTACAGCTGGTTTAGGGGATGGGCTTGGAGTATTTCACCCAACAGAATCTCAGCACGAACAGTCCTCGAAATCGAGGCTTGAAAATCCTACTCTGATTTTGGTTTACATTTGCTGGATTTCTGCCTGTGCTTCCCGTTTGCAGAAGAGCTCATAAATTCTAGAGGGCTCCAAGAACGAGTCCAATAAATTCTTTCCCCTTTTTGCCTTGTAAACAACACAGCTGTTTTAAGCTGGGTGAGCCCACGTGTGTGTGATGTTCTGGAGAGCTGTTTGGATGCAGCGCTCAGACTGCTGTCCCAGGAAGCAGAGGCCCCAGAGTTGTTCTTGCAGGGTTTGGGTGGGATTTAGGAAGTTGGCAGCACACACACCTGCTCCAGCGTTCATTCCCCTGCTCGCTGGGGCTTGGCAGGACACAGCTCAGTGTCAGGAAGGTGAACACAAAAAACTTGTTCCCTGCAGTTTACCTGCTACAAAATCCTGAAGGGAGGGTTTTTTTTTTTAAATCAGGCTTAAGCAGTGCATGTATATTAAAAACTGTTCTTTGTCAAATACAGAGCATTTTCTGATGTGGGTCTTTTCCAACTGTTGGATGTATTTATAGTGTCGTTCGGTTTATTTTCTTTTTTTTTTTGCCGCTGCTGCTTTTAGTTGCAGCAATGAGCTGATTGATGACAGGCTGAACTGGGGTTTGCAAATTACAAACAGCTCTGATGCAAAATCCTCAGTGCCCTTAGTGACTCCTCATAATAGGAATATTTCAGCTGTGAGTCATTCTTCAGATAACTGACTCTGTGTGCAGGATCCAAAGCAGTTTGCAGTTTGTATATGTGAAAACTTTTGCCAGACTTGTATGGAATTTGGTTTCCTGATGCAGTTTCTTGTGTCAGGAATGGACGGTCTATCTGCCCATATACCTCTATGCCTAAAAGACTTGCATTTTTCTCTTAATAGTATATTCTTATGTAACACTAGTATATTATTGATAGCATATTGTAGTTTCTTATCTGTTTAGAACAGGTATAGAGACTCTGAAGTTTGGATACAACACAGGAGATGGCTTTTTAATTCAGTTATGTTTTGTTTGATCTCTTTTGGATTAAGTGGGACTGAGGTAATTTGCTCTGAGTTGGTGCTTTGAAAGGTTTTGTGGGTGGAAGTACCAAAGTGTACTCCATTTATAAATAAAAAAATAAGTCTATTCAAAGGAGTTTCATGAGAGGAGAAGGGAAAAGGGGTAAGGTGTTTCTTTCAGGCAGTAACATCTGAAATTTGAGACAATGAAAACGTGTCAACAAAATAACTGGTGAAAAATGTCTCAATAAAGGCAGCAAATGTGCTGGGTGTGAGTAGCTGGGTCACTGGTGCTGTAGGGACTGCTCCTGAAGTGCTGGTTACCTAAAGGAACACGGAATTGGGGGAGCCTGACTTGTGATGCCACCAGAGTAAAAATTCCTAAATGTAACACAGGTTATAGCTGTAGGAAGCAGGAAACCGCAGCTGAAGGAGAGTGAGTGGGCCTGGCTCTTACCCTGCAGGTAAGTGGAGCTCTACAGCCAAATAATGCTGCTCTTTTTATGGCCTCAGCCCACTGAGTTTGGGAGAAAAAGCCCCCAGATCTCCCAGTGCCGGCCTGGCATTTGTTTTCAGCTCTGTTTGGGTTGTGTGTTGGGGCTGTTTTGATGGAACTCTGCAACATGCTGCCAATTTTTAAATTGTCTGTACCATAGTTCAGTGTTGTGATTATTAAATAATACCAGTCCTAGTGCAGCCTTCAGGGCATCTCTCAGTGTTGATACTTCTCTGCTTTTCCAGGGAGAGAAAGGAAAAGGAAAGGCAGGAAGGCCCCGTTGTTCCCCAGGACAGCATGGCAGCTTTGTGTGACCTGTAACTGTAGAGGTAACACAGGGGAAATGTTATTTGAGATTAAAATCTTGCAATAAATAATTTTCTATTTTCTATTTTCTATTATTATGTCACTTTTCTATTATTATGTCAATTTTCTATTATTATGTCACTTAAATATTAAGAGATCGTCACTTTAAACTCAGTATTAAAAAGAATCAGGTAACAATAACCGTGGTGGGAAGGGAGGGGCTGTCACAGACCCCAGTGACACGTTCTCTGATTGCTGAAGTGGAATGCAGCAGCCAGTCCCTCTGTTCACTCACAGCATGCTCGTACAAGTGTGCATTTCCTATCTGTGATTGCCCTAATAGAGGAAGAGCGTTTATTTGGTTTTCCAAGGGCAATGTCCTTGTTCAGGAGAGCCAGAAGGAAAAGTGTGCAGATGTTGTTGACCTAAGGGATGTCAAGCAGTGAGCCCAGGCAGCTCCCTGCAGGGTGCCACTGGGAGTTGCCACTGCTGTGTTTGGAGCCAGCTCCCCCAGAGGTGAGGGAATACACCTGGGTTTCACTGAAACTTGGTCAGAGGCACTGAGCTGAACATCTGCTCACCGGCAGGGCCATCCCCTGCCCTGCTGTGCCCACCTCAGTGCTCTCAGGGCTCACCTGCCACCAGCTGCGATCAGTGACGACAGAAAAGAGCAAGCTCTCCCACAGCAGGTACTGTCAGAATTCTGTGAACGAGGGTAATGATCCTGACTCTTGAAAATCTAGGGGTGTAAAATAATTCTGGGTTTTGATAAACCTTGCCATGCTTTTGATTGCTTCAAAGGTGTTTCAAGCCTTTTGCTACTCAAGGCCGTGTAACCCAGATTCCATTTTTGAGAGTTTACCTTGCAGTGAGAGCTGCAGACTCCCTGTCCGCTCCCTTGCCACTGCCTTGTCCAGAGCATCCTGAATTCCTGCATCACTGCAGGCTTTTAGGAACTAATGCCTCAGAGACAGCAACCATCTGTGAGACGCTGGTGATGCTGATGATGTTACCTCAGTGCAGTCAGTCCTTTGCTGGCACTGCCCTGTGTGAGCACCCTGAGAACAGTTACATTTGGGTGTTTAGGTAGGAAAGGAGCCAATTAATTAATCAACAAAACAGTATCAGAGATGACAAAGTGATGCCAAATGAAGACTCTCTCCTGTCTATCCAACATGTACTCAAGGTGCTCCTGGGGAGCTCTCAGTGGGGTAAGTGCCCATCTCTGCACAAACAGAGGCAAACTTTGGGCATCTCCTGACGGGGTTTTTGTGATCTCATAGTAGACTTGCAGAGTTTATACATAGGTTCAGCCTTTAGGTGATCATCTGTGAAAAAAAGCCTGTCCTGCTGGGACTCTCTGGCTCTTTCTTTCCACGTCATTTCTTTCTGATGTACTTTAAGCACAGAAAGAAGAACACGAGGATTTTCTGTAAATGAATTTGTAACTGTCCATGTTAATAATCAGTGCTGAGATCAGTGCTTCTGGTGTATTCTTCAGAAACTATTTTAAAGCATCTATAAATGGAATGAGAGTGTTTGCTTAGAATTTAATTTCATCACTGAAAATGAGATCTGGAGTAATGATGCAACCTTGAAAACAACTCCAGTTGTTCGTGCCTCTTAATCTAATGCAGGTTGAACATTTGTTTGTGCCACGGTTAAGGAACAGCATGAGTGCCATCCTGTGCCAGCCCTGCTGCAATTGATTCCAAAGCCCCACCTACCACATCTTTTGCACAAACAATTCAGAAGAAGAAACCACCAGGAATGCCAAAAAAATTCCAGCTGAAATAAGTCACTCATTAGTCTGTCTAGTGGGGGCTGTGCTGCCAGGCAGACAGAGCACTTCAACAAATATTTTAATGATCTGATTAAATTGGAGCTTAAAAAAAAGAGGGAAGGAGAAGCTGTCAGAGCCCCATTGCTGAGCAGGTCATGCAGCCACGTTAAAATGAACCTCAGCAGTCAGACCCCATTTATTTCAGAACCAGGGAGTCAACTGCAGTTCTGTTCCCTGGGCTGACAGCAGGACAGGGACCTTGTGCAGCTCTCTGGATGCTCTTTGTAAATAGCAGAATAACAAAATAAAAAGGAGGTACAGTTGCTGCAGAGCTGCCCATTCTACTTCCAACAGCTTTTGTGGCATTTCCAAATTAATGAAGTGCTCACATCACAGTTGAAATTCTTTGGCTTCTTTTTGGTAACCTGAGCAGAATGCACAGTGAGATTGATTAGACTGGCTTGTTTAAGCAGCACACTGAGGTTAAGAAACCTGGAGAGGATTTTGTACTGACACCGTCGTCGTGTCTGGAGAAGAACAACCTTGTGGGTCAGTAGAGCTGTCACTGCAGCCTCTTGGCTTGGTTGTTTTGATAACAAGCAGTAGGTTTGTATGCTGGTACACGAATAAGTTAGTTTTGTTTCCTGCCTTCTTCAGGGAAGATGTTCCACACAACATCATATTTATCAAAAGAATACATTGCCTTCCATTTACAGGTTTTCCACCGGCCCAAACAGACGAACTGAGGAGGTAAAATATTGTACATGTTTCTTTGGCTTAAAAAATGTCTATGGCTTCATGGCTTACTCTGTGTGTGTGTGTGTGTGTGTGTATATGTTTCAGGTTCAGGCTTAAATTTGAATTTCTAGTTTTCCATTGTGGCAAGGCCTCCTGCAGCTCTCTGTGGTGCAGGCTGTGTCCCCCTGGAAGGAGGTGGCTGCCTGTCTGTTCTTCATCAGCCCTCTTGCTCCCCCTCCAGCAATCATCAACAGAGGATGAGCAGCCACCACGGTGG